ACGTTAGTATAGATCAGAACATGCTTGTGCGGCATGACTTACCACCAGCGACGAGACCTGGAATCAGTAGTCTCCTCATATTGGCCGTGCCCATGATCTTGGCAGCACCCAGAGCGCCATCCACCCAGCCAACACCACCGACTAGCCTGCCTCCTACTAGACCTGCAACTGTCATAGCCATACCAGCACCTGCGGCCTTCTCTTGTCGCTCCCAAAGACTTGCGACATCGAAAAAGTCCCACAAGTCAATGTCAATGTCGACTTGTCTAGCCAGAGCGTGCACAGACTTCCTAAACATTCGCTCTGGGCGGAACATGACATCTGCATACAGGTTGTTGCCGAGATGCAAGACACCTAGGTTCTTGATGCCATTGTAGCCCTGTACAGCCTGGTTTCGCGCATGCTCTTCACATAGACGAACGCTTTCGGTGACCTCGTGCAACATGGAATCGCGAATGTCTTCGGCATACTGGTAGGCTGAAAAGAGTCCTGGGTATTCGATGCCCAAGTCCAGCTCTGCCACCTTGGCAATGCAGTCGTTGAGAGTGTCGCGAGTGTGGCCGTAGACTTCCGAGGTTGTGTCCTCCACCATACGGTCCACTGCTTCTCCAGCTTCTGTTCGAGACTTCTTTGATTCTTCAAACTCTGGCTCGAGCGCCTCAATCTCTTTCTTGATACGGTCCAGTTCGTTCTGGGAAACATCGCGGTTGATAGTTGCCAAGTTGTGCATGTCTCCTAATACGTTGAGTAGATAAGTCTTTGCCGGCGCTAACTTTGACCTAGCCCTCTTCTCCAGGACAAAACGTCGTAGTGAGGCCTCGAGATCGGCAAAATCCCGTTGCTTTTCTGCTTCCTTGCCTTTACCTTTACCCGATGGGTCGTCATCGTCGTCGTCTGGAGGACTTCCGCCTGCACCCATGGGAATTGCGTTACTCGAAACAAAGTGCACTAGTTCGCTAGATTCCTTGAAGGTTGCTGGGCTGAGGCTATTGACCTGCTTCAAAATCATTTCCTGGCAGCGCCTCTGATCCCTGATCGTATCGAAGCCATTCACCACCATAAACATGTAAGCTTTCTCGCGGGCTGCTGTGAAGATGAAGTTTTTCGCAGATTCTGTAAAGTGGTTGGCGGCTGAAACGACAAAGACGACAACGTCAATCTCTTCTTGGCGGGCGAAAACAGCAGTGGTCTTAATGGAATCGGCGTTGAGTCCCGGTGCATCAATAAGGGCAATGTCGACCACGCCATTGTTCAGCAAAGATTCGTCCACATCGCGGATGTCCTTGACGTAAATCTTGCATTGTGAGAAATGGTCGTTGTCGATTACAATCTTTTCAAGGTCATTCAGATCAAAGACAATGTATGTGCTCTCGTCGTTGCGGTTGTAGGTCGATCCAATGGGGATGGCATGAACTTCCTCAACCCCGCCGTTCTCTCTAAAGTCAAGGACCTCGCAGAATATGCTTGTGCATGGCTGTTGGTCTTCGGGAAGAACCTTGCGACGGAGCAGGGCGTTACAGAATGTAGACTTTCCAGCGTTCAGGTCTCCGGTCACCAGGACCTTGCTTGAGGTGTCTTCAATGCGCTCCTTGAGGGCAAACAGGTGGCGTATACTTTGCTGGATTTGACCGTCTAGGAGAGAGGCGACGGAGTTCTTTTCGAGTGAATGGACCAAATCTGTCTGTGTCCGGCTGCCCATGCGTAACTCTAACTTCAGGACCGAAAAGTCGTGGGCAAGTTGAGGTGTCACTAGTCGAGGCTCGTCCTTTCGCTTGTGTTCGATGGCTGAACTGGACTCGGCGTCGTCTCCGATCGTGGTACCGGCTCGTCGTGGTCCGCGGGGTCGTTCAGGCGAGCGGGAAGCGGGATCGAAGTCGCCCATTGCGGACTGGGTATGGTGTAGTCCGGGCCGCGAGTCGCTGCGAATATGTGATTTTTGCTTCTCTGCTGCTTGAATAGAAGGGTAGTGTGCGGGCCATTTCAAATTCATTTCTTGGAAACTTTTTAAGGCCTCGATTGTGCCGTGAATTGCGCGGCCGAGGGCATTTTTATTCTGGTTGTATCGCAGTTGAAGGACGTGGCTGCGCTGCTTCTCGTGCTCAGCATTTGATGAGCCCGCGGACAGTATGGGTACAGGCGAGGGGCGGTCTTCGCCAATGTTGGAGCGCCAATTCATGCCAGAGCCTTCACCATCCTGCACACTGCCGCCATAGCCAGAGTCTTCGTCCAGCATAGACACCAGGCGGGCAGCAGCATCGCTGGTTGTGCTACCGCCACCGACGGTCATGTATCCTGGTCCTGCATTTCGACGAGGGACAAAGCCGTCGGAAGAGCCTTGGCGGCTGCTGGAGGACTCTCCCGGCGTGGAGGGGCGGCGGTTGTTGCGGCGGTTTGGATTCATCGGGGAGGTTTGATGTTGTGTTGTAGGCTACGAGGAGGGGCGCATGTCGTATTGGATACGGGAAGATGATGTCGCGGACGAGGGAGGCGGCGGACGAAAGAAAAGAATATGCAGCGAGGGAACGTCAGAGTTGGTGGTGCACACGCCACTAAGATTGCACGCAGGGATTGGCTGTTGCCCACTTCCTACGCGACCGCCCGGCTGACAATGCGATACAGCGTCTTGCATGTGAGCGAGTGGCAAGGCAGTGGCCTGGAGGGGGAGACAGTGAGCCTCCAGTATAGAAATTTGTTAGCTAGTGGAAGCCCGACAATGCAAGTGTGATAACTTGACAAAGGCTCGGCATTGCAGTCCCCTACATACCTACGTGCCGACCTGCGTGACGATCCAACGGCTACTCGACCAGGCAGGCAGAACACCAAATATCTACCACAATCCAACAAGCCAGCCCACGTGTGACAATTACTGGGAGCCCGGATGGTTGCAGGTGGGCTACTTCACCGCCATCTTTGCCAATCTATCTGCCTACATCATATCCTTGACAGCGACAGGTAGCGGTTAGGCCATACCCGCTAATCTCCCACCCCAAGTCTACGCCATCCCACGGCCCTTCTCCACTTCGCACCCGTCGCCGCCATGAATGTGAGTATTGCTTGGTCTTCACTACAGCCTCAGCTGATATATCGCCCAGATCGTAGAATGGGCCTTCGGAAAGCGCATGACGCCGGCGGAGCGGCTGCGCAAACACCAACGTGCACTCGAGAAGACGCAACGAGAGCTAGACCGTGAGCGCGTGAAGCTCGAGAACCAGGAAAAGAAGCTGGTTGCAGACATTAAGAAGAGCGCCAAAAATGGCCAAATGGGCCCATTGCGGATACAGGCAAAGGACTTGGTGCGGACACGACGGTATGCTGGCCTGCTGCCTGTCGCATTGCTGGCTTGGGACTGACACTCGCCCCAGCTATATCCAGAAGTTCTACCAGATGCGCACACAACTACAAGCAATTTCGTTGAGGATCCAGGTAAATATGGGCATGATCAACCAGATTGGGGCTATGTGGCTGACCGCGAGCAGACGGTTCGCAGCAATGAGCAGATGATGCAGTCCATGAAAGGCGCCACGAGTAGGTCTATGTTTCAATGTGCCCACCACAATACTAACATTCGCAGCACTGCTTGGAAGCATGAACAGGCAGATGAACCTCCCCGCGCTTCAGCGTATCGCCATGGAATTCGAAAAAGAGAATGACATCATGGATCAACGACAAGAGATGATGGATGACGCCATCGACGATGCCACGGGCATGGAAGACGAAGAGGAGAGCGAGGACGTAGTCAACCAAGTTTTGGACGAGATAGGCATTGATCTAGGCCAGGCTGTAGGTCGAATGTCATGTTTAGAAGCGTATTTGCTAACGAGTGACAGCTTGGCGAAACACCCAGTGGCCTGCAAAAGAATACAGTACCTGAAACTAGAGTGGCACAGGCCGTTGGAGGCGGAGGCGCTGACCCCGACGACGATGATCTCCAGGCTCGGTTAGACAGCCTGAGGAGGTGAACATCGAGAGGCAGGCACATGACAAGCAGTAAATGCACATGATTGGGCTAGTATGTCACATGACCAGGAGTTGCGGCAATGGCGCTATGTAACGGTTGTTGGCTTTGAATTAGCATCGGTTACCATAACGGGATCAACATACCAGCACTTGAACTGATGTTTTCATGTGAAGGCATTTGATCCATATTTTCTTGCAATCTATCCGTGTAGCAGCGTTTAATGTTCCGTCTACTACACACAGTAACAGAGGCCAGTCTCCGGACTAGCTCCAAGTGCGAAGCGGACATTGAGGCTAGCCACTGCTTATTACAGCCAGTCTACCAACTAGTCTTGATAAGTAGTAAATATAGTATGTAATCCGAAGTGTGACGCACTACGAAAAAAGCGATGAGCCTGTACTCTCACTGCTAGAAACCCAACCTCTACAGTCACGCCGCTGCTACCACCCATGTCGCAGATACACCTTGCCTAAAATAATCAATTCCATACTAAATGCATCTCTTTCATTACCTCCATCGTCTTTGATACACCCTTTGTATGCTTGGAACCTATTATTGCCTTCCCACTCATTATAATCCAATACGAACTCACAATAAAGGCTATTTCTATCTACACATTGCACATGCAACAAAAATACACATGTCTATCCTCGTAAAGATGGTTATCTCCAAAGACCCACCACAACAATAAGACCAGCGATCAACTAATTTCTCCCCCTTCCCCGACGTTCCTGTCAGCAAAAACCCCTAATCAAAACTCTCGCCCGTGTAAGTTTCCACTTTCAATAAACTCTATTCCGCTGATCAATCTCGAATTTAAATACACTTGCGGATATCCAAGATCGTCTGCCGTGTCATTTCCGGCATCAAATATCTTCACCGAAGCTCCCTTCAAGAAATATTTGGGCATATTTCAACTGGCCGGTGTGTGCCGCTGCTTTACTTTGTGTTGTATCCCACAAGTCTTTTGTCTCCAACATAACGAAACAACTTCTATCTGCCCCGTTCCTTTCAACCACTGTTCTTTTTTCATTCTTTAGTACTTCCACTGCCATTTTGGGTTTTTTGGACAAAAACGTATCTGGGGAAGTTTGAAAAAATGAAACGCACAATCTCAAGAGACTCGATTAAAAGCGTGGTGACGAAGGCTTCGCGTACTTCACTGTGGGAGCAGTTGGAGAAGCCGAGAAAGGTACGTTTTGCGCTAAACGTTTGAGATTCACTGTTGCTGATGTGAGGGGCGGTGGTTTAGTACATACGGCAGGCGTTCACATCGTATAAGATTTTGTGATAGGGGTATGTTGGTTGGATATCAGGACACATGGAGATCTGGAGAGAAGAGGAAGAGCGTGGGGTGGAGATATGGAAGGTTGAGGAGAGGCATACGGCAGAGGGATGAAGAGTGAAGATTGAACAAGGCTACACTGCTGATACTTCAGTATTTATTTGTATACCGTATGCACATTCACTCCCTCGTATCTCATCACATCTGTATTACCATTAAATTTCCATAATAACTTCATTCGCTGCGAACCTCCGTCCACTAAACGGACTCGCCGCAAAAGCGTACAACTCGTCTTTCGTCAGTTCTTCTCGATGTTTCGCCCATGCTCCCTTGAACGCTCCATTAGCACTGATCCTGTATGTCGCTGGCCTGCGCTGTGGCATCCACGGCCTATCAAACACTATCTCAACCTCTTCTCGCATACCGGGCGCCAACGTCAACAACTGGTTTGGAGGCGGCGGCATCTTGCGGGTAATATGTATTATAGCCTGTTCTATCTCGCGGTGGTTGGTTTCGTCCACGATGTTGAAGACGCCTGTGTCGAGTGCGTACGGATCCAGTGGCGTGTTCCATTTGAGTACCGTGTACGTTGTGTCCGAGTGGTTATTTTCCACAGTCACAAGGAGAGTAGGCGGGTCCCGAGATTTCTGGCTGAGCGATACTTCGAGTCCAGGTAGGTTATTGCCTGATGTGCGATGCGGTAGGGTAAAATCCAGGGGCGATGGCGATTGGTAGATGTAGAATGCGCCCAAGAGAGTGACGGCCAGCCCCGTGAGCAAAGCTATTCGCAGGTTCCAGAGGGCTGCCATTTCAGATGCAGGTATGCTGGCTAGATATGCATTTACAGCTTGTGGTGAGTAAGGAGATTCGAGTTGTTGTTGTTGTTGTTGTTCTTCTCCTCTCTCCACCCTGCTGGAATAAGGGCGAAAGGGTCCAGCAGCTCAGGAGACATTATTGCTAAATCCCCGCTCGATTCTCGCTTACATGCTGGATCCCGAATCTTTTGCATTCTGGTCGACAGAGTTCATCACACATGCAACGAATCAACTTCATCAAAGACAATGTAAAGATTACCCTTTGTAGCTTGGTCCGTTGCTGGCCCCTGGTTGGAAGCGGGATGTGCGGGGTGTGCAGCGCTAGCATTAACTAACCTGCCCGACATGGCTCGTTCCGCCGAACTGCATCATTGCTACAAGATAAGACGGGTTGTTTTTGCGGTCGAGTAGGTTGCGAGGCCTGGAGGACGAACATCCCGTTGTGGATCCTAGCGCTGTCTGATTTCCCCCATGTTGATGATGCGCGCATAGCGGCATGCTACTAGTACTTTGCATAGAACTACCCCTTCTATCGCCACTGGATAGAATTTACAGAATTTACACCCATTTCATAGCCCAGGTCAAGCATGACAAAATAACAAGTACCAGCGTCAGTGTCCCAACGTAATTTTCGATCTTCCAGCCCCCAGCCTGCAATGCTCACACTGCTGCGCCTCGCTTGGCCTTGCAACCACCGGGTTCATGCGTATGACGATCTTGGACGCCTAAACGCAGCGCACTTCAAATTATCGTACCGTCTCTGAAACTATGATTCCGGACACACAAGTACACATGTCTCTTGCTCTCGATGTGTGTCACATGTTATCGCTTGTTCTACTATGAGGCCATCCGCGTACATCTCTATCACCTCCAAGGATGCGACTGATGAGCAGGGTAGAGGTGCCCAAACGATAGAAATGCAGCGCCTCGACGACGGCACTGGATCCGATATAATGCAGCCCAAGACGGAGACTCGTAAAGCCGGGTTGAGAGAAATATGGTCATCTTCTCCTTGGAAAGTAATTTTGGTTGCTCTTGCGGCTCTCCTTGCGTCCGCCATCATTGTAGTCCTCGCTGCCGCCGCGGAAATGGCATCACAGAGCTACATCATGGGTCGGGACTGCTATCCTAATGGTCTTTGGAAAGAAAAGCCTGGTGCGACATGGCGCATCATGGATTCTTCGTACTTTTTCACGCCAAACCTCAGTTTTGGAGCCTTCACCTTCACACAGGTCAAAGTCATCGATGTTGCTTGGGACGTCATCGTCGGAAGAGGGGGACAGCTGCTGCTGGGTTGGGTCAACTATCGCGTCTTCAACGAGTGGTTGGTGTATCACATGGAGATGCATTCCACATCCTATAAACTCTACGCGGCTGTTGCCTTTGAAACGACGACTATGGGTACACTTGGTGTGTTAGCAAAGGAGTTTCTGGCGTTTGGCAAAAGAACACGGCGCCGGTTCTTCAGGTGGCTTGCGATACTATCCATGTTGCTGTCGACTTTGTACGTGCTATCATTTCCGACTTTGATGGCTGCCATGACTGGTTACATTACTACGTACGAGCTGTATGTGGAGAACCGCGATCACAACCTCATCGAGTGGGGTAAAGTAAGACGAGTGACGAATATCATTCAAGACGCAGATAGATTGGGCTACGAAAAACCCTTGATAATCACAGAAACCGATACGGAGCTCAGAAACGCTGTCAAACTTTGTATGTCGGGCGCAGACTCTCCTCAGTATCTGGCTAACTTCTACTCAGACATAGAACAGTTCGATCCTTATACAGGCAGAACCCCCGGAACAACTGTAGAAGGTTTTACTTACTCCGAGCTGTACACTGATGAGCCTTCAAAATGGGTAGTAGAAGGGACAAAGAAACCTGAAGAGCTCCCTTCTCCAAGCCTGAATATTACAACCTACCGGACCTACCCAGAAACAATAATACCTCCACCAAAATGGTTTGGACAAGTCCCAGTTGCTTTCGAGAGCCGTCCCACAGATATATACAGCACGTCGTACTTGCTTGAGCATGGTTCCTGTCAACCAAGCGAGACATACCAGTGGGGCTTCTCCTACATCTTCCTCTTCATGGTTTCCATATTCAACTTCATCTGGACATGCATCATGATAGGCATGTGGCTCGATACACGGCTGAGCTCGAGAATGTACAAGAGTGGGCGGAGACCGGGGCTGCTGCGCAGCATTATGGATTACTCGGCTGCGGTCAGGCAGGAGCTCGGTACCGAGGCGGAATATCTAGAAGAGGACTGCTTGCGGAAGCGTTTGAAGCAGAGCGGGGGTGCGTTGATAGTGCCGAATGGGGAGCTTAGGATATCGCGGATGGATACTGGGGAGAGTGAGATGAGGGAGAGGGGCTGGCGGAGGAGATTGACGAAGGGAAGCACGTTTTAAGAAGGCAGAGCAAATCATGGCATCATGATCGTTATCATTGCGAAATATAAAAGGGGATGGGGCTCTAGCCCCATTGGAATCTCTCTTCATCCAACCTTGTGCCTTCTTCCCAGCACTTTTCCACCCATCCTATACCAACTATTCGAGCAAGTCCAGAGATTCTCGGATTCCCTCTCTTCGACAAAGATTTCTCGTCTGGCACAATGACGTGCGTGACCCCTTCTTCCTCTTCCTCATTATCAGCAATCAGCCCATCTCCAAAACGGAAATAGTTCTTCGCCAGCTGCGCCCTCAGAGACCATTCTTTATTATCTCCGTCATACGAGAATACAGCCTTGACAGAGTGAAACATATGGGTCTTCAGCTGCTCCAGAGGCTTGCCATGATCTTCCAGCTGTTTCAAAAAGTCGTGTCGCTGGAACGTAGCTGGACTTTCCGGTTTCGCCATCCCATCCAGAAATTTCCTCATCTCTTCTACGTCCGCAATGTCGCGTGCGTAAGAATCGCCATTCTCGTCTACGTTGCTCTCAAATTCGAATTGATCGTCATCGTGGAGGTAAAGCATGTGCCTGTTCGGTTCAAAAGGAAGTAGGTAGGGCAATGCGCCAGTGTCTGCTTCGTTTTGCGTAATACAGTCTTGGATCCAGATCGGCTTGACGATGTTGTTTGTAGCTCGCTTTTCCAGAGACGCGACTTTGATCAGCCGTTTGTCGGCAATGATGATGAGATTCTTGTCTGTAGAGTCGCGTTGGACAAGCCTACCACCGTTGGCTTTGATGAGTGCCTCTAGGTCAGCTTTGGATTTCTTCACTGGGTGCATCTGCTCAGTCATGACATAGAAGCTGAGTGCGTCGAAGATTTTAGACTTTGGGCCTGCATAAGGTGTCGTCGTCGTATCGTTACCCATCACCGCCAGCGGCTTCTTTGATGTGCGTGCCCTCTTGCGCCGTGACTGTTCGATCTTGAATTCCTTTTCCTTCTCAGATTTCTCGATCTCTACTTTGGTTTTGACTTCGAGGAACTCCTGCACGGAAAGCGCCTGATCCCATCGTTTGTCTGTCCTGAGCTGTTTAAAGCGTGGAAAGCGGAGTGTCAATGCAAAGCGGAACTTGTCACTGCTCTCGACACTGGCGGCTTTGCACTCCAGTACGACAGAATCGCTTGGTCTAATCCATTGGTCCGGTCTCTCATGTTGCCGATTCTGCTCGTGGCCACCTAGTTCGATGAATGGCGGTGGACGCCGAGGATCCCAGTCATGCCATTTTCCTTGCGTTCGTCCTCGTAAAGCAGCGTAGTCGTCCGAGCTGAATCCACCACCAACCTTGAAGAATGACCAACAATGTTCGTGTTTGGGGTCTCCTGGCTTTGCGCTCTTGTTCGTAAGTAGCGCACAGAGGAAAGATGAGTGGGCACCACCGCGACGACCAGAGCCAAAGTACCCTCCAACGACAATGCAGTCAAGAGACTCTCCAAACTCGGACATGTACTCCGGCTTCACCTTCATCCAATCGTTATTTCGTTGGTTCAAGCAATACATCGAGCGAGGGTTCTTCAACACCAAGCCCTCGGATGCTTCAGCAACCACTTTTCGCAGCGCCGGCTCGATCTCAGTATGTGAACGAGCCTCAATGTATGGATGAACTTCTAATCTGCGATGTACACCTTTGACAGCGCTTTCCAGAGCACGACGGCGATCACGAAGCGTATACTGGGTGAGCAACGTATCGTTCAGGTACACACAGTCAAACACTCGAAACAGCGGTCGCTGGCCAGTCTCTTGGTTTGTTTTGTTCTCCTTCTCGGATATGGCTGCCGTCTTGAGAGTACCAAAACCGACAATGTGATCAGTTTCCATGTCCCAGGTAACCATTTCGCCGTCGAGGATAATGTTCTTCACGTTCTTCCCAAATGCGTCTGTTATGAACCGCGTTAGTGCTCCAGCTGCGTCGCCGTGGAAATGCTTTCCATAGAGATAAGTGTAGTCTTTCGCCTTTCGCGACCAGAAGCCAAACGATTTCCCACCTGGCGCATCTGGATCCTCTACCATATGTAGTTGCATGCGTTCGCCGTCGAGTTTCTCCTCAATCCAGAATGTATCTTCATCTGAATCTCCTTTGAACCTGTTAACCATCTTCTGGAACGAGCCTACTTTGTCCTGAAATTGAGCTAGTTGCGGTTGAAAGCATTGCATGAGACAAAGGCCAGTATTCTCGCCCTCGAGACGTATGTTGTGATCAAAAAGCTCCCAACAAACACGCCGAAGATTCGACGACACATTGAATAGCGTTTCTGCATCTGGATGCCAAATATCAAGCAAGGTCTTCTCAGTTGCACCAATCTTCATCTGACGAAGAATCATCCGGATCAGCCATGTCATTTCCTCTGCATTCATCCTCCGGTAAAATCTCTGGAAAATTTTGACTTGCTCTTCTTCTGTACCGACTTGCGATAGTTTGTCGAGAGCATTGTTGACTTCTGCAATGCTCATGTCGCTGTACTCTGTCTTGAGTTGCCGTGACGACAGGATCTCATAACACCGTCCGGCAAAGTCACCAGCAGTCCAAGCTGATGCTTTTTGCAGCTGACTAGGCAATTTCCAGTTGAGCATGTGTTTTGCATCATCTGAATCCTTGCCAATTCTGGTGAGCTTGATCAAGACCTTTGCTATTGCCTTCTCCTTTAGGCCGTACATGGCCCGGTCTCGGTCTTTCTCGGGAATAATGAGGCGCATTGCAGGGTAGAAGTCATTCCCCACCTGCTTCCGCCAATTCGCAATAAAGCGCTCGACGATGTTCCGCTTGGCTTCATGAGGCGTTAGGCTGCCGCGGCCGTGCGGTCCAACCTTGCGCCGAGGGCCGACCGGTTGCTTCTTTTTTTGCGTGTCCATGAGCGGATTGAAAAGATCGGTGAATAATGTGTGAAACGGCAGTGTCTTGTGTAAATTCAATGGCCGCATTGGGTATTTCTCATCAAGGTCGTCATCATGGCCATACATGAGGGTATTCTCACGTACGGCGTCGGCATCCAGCATTGGCGTATCTTCTGCCATTTTGAGTGCATTGATGAGGAGCACCACGCCGTGGGCCGTCGTTGGTATTTGAATACCGCGTCGTGGATGCCTGGAAGGCCGCGTTTAGCGTCGCGCGTGATCACGTGGCTCTTAGGTATGAAAGCGGTTAGCGTGTTGCCCAGGACATCACCCATGCAAAAGTGGATAAACGGGGGTTGTCGTGAGGCTGACAGTGCTAATCTTGGAACATTAGAATTGCGACTCCACTATTCGTTCTCAGCACTGTCTCTCTTGCTCTCTTGCTCTCTTCCTTCCATGTACATATGTATGCTGCGTAGCGCTACTCCCCAACCCGTATCGATAGTCGTGGAATCCCTTTGTGTACGTCATTATTGCTGACCAACCCGATGGAGCATAAATGAGCTCTACACGCAACCAGGGCTGGGTCCCGCAGTCAGCCGGAGATGTGCAGCACAACGTACGCAACGCTGCATTGCAGGGCGCCTCGAAAGCCTTCTCCAAACCCCCTGTGAAGCCGAAGCCTGTCACCAACACATATACCGGAGGAGACAATGGAGCCTGGCTAGCAGCCACACGGGTTGGAACAGGCAGCCCTGCATCCTTACAACGAGACCATACCGGCGGATCTCTAGGCGTCAGCAGACCAATCACCTCCAACCCGGCGAACCCTACGTCGTTGACCGTTCCTAGCGATCACCTTGACCGTGTACCATCTCCATCCAACATCGCGGCACGGCTAGCCGCTGCCCGGCACAGCCCTCTGAAGCCCATGCCCCAACCCAAACTCCAGCCCGCGCCCTCGATGGACGAACAAGAGCCAAATGAAAGGGATGTACTACCTCCACCTGGTAGTGTGGGTAATCTGCTTGCGAAACTTGAGCCTAAGAAGCCTGGTCCGCAGCAGCAGAAAAGGAGAGACAGTCTTGAGTCGCGCTCAGCTGCCAGCCGTGTCCAGCGACCGGAATTCACCAGCAGGCCCACTGACGATACTCCCATACCACCTACAAATACCTTAGTAAAGATGTTTGAACAAGGCAGGTCTACAACGCCGACTGACCAGACTTCTACGCCTTTACATATTGCTCGAAGTTCGCCGCCTCCTGTTCGATCCCCAAAGCCTCGGCGGACCTTTTCACTGCCACCTGAACCGGAAGAAGACAATGCTCCACTGCAGAGGAAAAGGACACAGACACCTCCGCCTATCAAGCCAAAGCCAAAGCACCAGATTCAGCTACCCCCACAATTCACTGACGGTGCGAATGATAAAGCATACTTCAATACGCCTAAGAAGGGTCCTATGAAGTCACCTCCGGTCAAGCAGAAGCCAGTAGAATTAGCCGCTCTCACGACAGCAATCTCACCGCCTCGAAAAAGCTCCCGTCAGACAAGGCCAACGTCCCAGGACGCATCAACATCGGTTCCAGGGCAGAGAAGGAGAATGTCGGCATCCATAGAAAGCTCTAAACCACCTTCAACGCCATCTTCTTTCAAGTCCGCAAAAGAGGAACAAGAAGAAGAGGACGCAGAAGTCAAACTCAAGCCAACCGTGCCTCCACCTCGTCGTTCGACTACCCGGAAAGCAGAGTCAGTGCCGGCTTCGCAAAAACTTCAACCGACAACACCCATACAGATCAAACCACGTGCAGGTAGTCAAACGCCAGGTTCGACATCTCCAATGCGGAATCTCTCACCTTATCGACCAGCATCTAATACAGGCACGGCCTCCCCTTCTGTGTATCATAACAACTATCAACGCGAATCAGTCAAGCAGATCACCCAGCACATGACTGGAGAGTCCCTATCGAGTGCAATCATGGGCGCAGCTCTGGCTTCACAGTCTCGCAATGTTTCCCCTGCGCCTCGCCCCATGTCAGTTGAGCCGCTCTTCCCACCACGCAAGCAACACCATCACCACTTGCCGTTTCACCGGTCTCCGTCTCCACAGAAGAACTCACCTCCGAAAAGCACAGGGAAGCTGCGTACCACAATGCGCAAAGAGCCTTCCTCGTCAGACGATGAAGATAACAAGGTGGACAAGTACAAAAAGAAAGGCACAAGAATCATGGGCATCAAAGGACGGAAACATCCGAACAAGCATGACGAGGGAAATCGAAAGCGATGGCGTGACCAGCTCACGGAAAGAGAGCGAAAGCGGTACGAGGGGGTCTGGGCGGCAAACAAAGGCCTTTTCATACCTTCATCGCCTCGTGCACCGCCTGACGACGATCCGTCTGCCGATGTACTGAATCTTGTGGTCAAAGAGATTTGGACGAGGAGTCGCTTACCCACACACGTGCTGGAAGAAGTATGGGATTTGGTAGGCGGGCGAGCGATTGGAAGACTGACCAGATACGAATTCGTCGTGGGACTGTGGTTGATTGATCAACGACTCAAAGGGCGGAAACTACCCGTCAAAGTCAGTGATAGTGTGTGGCAGAGCGCAAGGAACGTTGACATTAAAGTCAAGATTAAACATTAATGGAAAGGGTATGAGCGTTCATAGATTACCGTATCTGCCGCCGATATTGTACTTGGTGCTATTGATACTAGAGATACCCTTAATTGGAATTTATTTCGTTTGTTGGTATAATTCATTATCCACCCTTAAATCCTTGCCGGTCTCACTATCCCACCATAGACAAAAGCCCAGTACTCCTCACAAAATTCGCCGTACTCCAGAATCCACCGCTGAAATCAAGATCGTACCAGTAATTCACAGCACAACAGATTCCTTCTTCATTGCAGCTCTGACTTACTTTGTGATACCAGAGCGCAGGCAAATACAGCATATCGCCTTCATCTAACGTCACACGCAGAGGCTGCGAGTATTCCGAATAAGGCGTCGGATTAACAAGTGGTACATCTGGATCCCATGTCGCAAACGGCACATATTCCTCCGGCTCATCCACCGCAATCACAAGTTGCCCCTTCTCTTCCTCACCAGATACCACTGATTTAGGTCGATACGTAGCCGCGAGCACAGCCTTCTCATTCACACAAGCCGCCTCTACCGGCGGTAGGAGTACAAAATGCTTTTTACCGAGAATCTGCACGTAAATATTTTCGTAGTTGTCTTTGTGCAGAGCGGTGGTAGAATGCGAGTTTCCGAGCCAGAAGTTGATGGCGTCGGGATCCTGCTCGAGGGCTATGCGGGCGAAGGGGATGGAGTCGGGCACGTCGGCGAAGAGGGTAGCGTATTCGTTGCGGAGATTGTCGTTTTGGGTTTGAGCGTAGTGTGTTGGGCCAGCGTACGTTTTATCATTTTCTTGACGTTGGATTTTGGTTAAGACGGCTTTGAAGGGCTCGTCGGTTTCGTGAGGCTTGACGAAGAGGGAACCGCTGCTGAGGAGGTCAACAACTGAATCGGCGTTGCCGTGGGGTGTCATGGCTACGTTTACGGTTTGGCCGTACATGACATCTTGGAGGTATTGGGCGTTCCATTTTTTGCGGGCTGGAAAGCTTGAAGCTCCGTTGCGGATTACGAAAGGGCGATTGCGTGCGACTTGTCGCATGAACTGGAGTGGTGATGGCTCTTCATGGAGAATATCGATGGTGGAGGGGTTGAGGTCGTGGTAGGATGTTATTAGGTCTACAAATCAACAAATAAGCCTTGTGTCGATAGATTACAAAAAAAACAAAAGTTTAGTAAAAAATGTATCGAAGAAAATGAATGCACCTCTTACAGCATCTTGCAATGTCCCCTCGCCTTCAAGCCCAGTCGGTGCAGGTCTAGATATGTCAGCCAAACGAGCAAATCAAGAGAAGTAACACATGATATACCTGAGACCAGCCTGCTCAGCGCTCTTCAAGCCCACGACTTCATCTTGCACCTGAACCATCTTTCCGCATTCATGCGAGTCCGCGCAAAAGTTCATGAAGTGGGATGCCAACGGAGTTAAGTATTCTAGCGCCGGCGATAATCTAGCTTGACGGAATTCCGAGCACTCGTTCGTACATCCCTCCCTTGCTCCAACTACAACAAGTTCCGCAACGTCATTGAGCGGACGCGCAAGCCTAGCACCGCATAATCAGAAGATGCCCAAGTGATACCAAAGCTCAAAATCTTTTTCGCTTTGTAATGCCGCCACCATGGTCTTCCATCCACCGCTTCCATAAGAAGTCAGCACCTGCCTTCTTAAGCCCTCAAGCATGGACGCGTACGCTACACTTGTACCTATAACACCAATGCGCAACTAAATCCATGTACAGGTAGTGCCTTCCTGGTTGCCAAAGTCTTCGTCGTCGGCCATGTGTTCTTCTCGTACATAGGCGGCGTGGGATCTACCACCGGCATATCCATGGTTCCCACCATCCCTCATTCCTTTCGCTCCCACCCTTGGATCCTGTACTCGTCGCTTCACCGTCGAGGCCGAAACATACAGGTCGGCGATGTGATAACGTATACGCATCCCATGTTTCCTAACCAGCATGGTTGCAAGCGGGTCATTGGCATGCCGGGCGACCTCGTCAGTGTTATCACGCCGGGACGCAGTGACGAGGATATCGAGGCAGTTGATGCTGATGGGAAGTGGGCGAGCGTGAGGGGAGAGGTGATTCGGGTGCCAGATGGGCATTGCTGGGTGCAAGGGGACAATCTGGAGTGGAGTAGGGATAGTAGGTTATTTGGTCCTTTGCCGTTGGGTTTGGTTAAATCGAAAGTGCTAGCGGTTATTCTGCCGTTTCGAGAGGCAAAATGGGTTGGTAGTTCGGTCGATGTAGTTGATCCGCAGGAGAAGGAAAGAGAATGGATCCTGAAATAAGAGATGGGACGATACAATGCTGATGAAATAATCACACTTCACTTAATCGCCTAGACAAACTGTCACCGGCTCTACGAAACAACTACACAGGCAATTCCTATAACAGCTCTTGACAACAAAACACAATAAAGACAGAAGAAAAAAATGAAAAATCCTCGACACATCGAACTTCTATGTGTACAAGACCAAAGTCATAAACCATTCCATAAACGCCAAACAATGCATTCCCTTTCTGTGGTCACACACTCCCCTCCAAAAAAAACACGCTCGCTCAATCCCAGCTCTGCTTCTCCATAGACGGCGTACCCAGCACACCAACACCATCACCCCTACGTTTCCTCTTACCCACAAACTCGCTCGCCCAATCAAATATCTGCCACGCCCAACCGCCCGCAACCATAACACCACTAACAACATTAACAAGCGTAATAACCAACTTCCAGAAGCTCTTGCTCTCCTCGACAATCGCCAGCATAATAGGCTCAATATCGAATTTGACAAAGATACCGGGGACGTAGCTATCGTCTACCTTGTGCGACTGCGAGGTAACGGCGTACTGGTTTGTCTTGATGGCGTGCGCCATGCGGAACATGTTGGATGAGGGTTGATCATTTGTGGAGACCATAGATTCCATAATAGGCATGAGAGCAGGGTCGTCGGTGTAGATGGTGGGGACGATGGAGAGGTAGTATTGGAATTTGTAGAAATGGTCTGCGGGAGTTGGGGTGACGGCGATGGTTGAGTCGAGGGGGTTGGTGAGGGAGGGGTAGTATGGGCCGAATGACATCTCGCGGATGATGTGGGAGAAGTTGAAGGCTGGTGGGTTGTTAGTTTGGGAGGGGGAGATCTTGACGGGTTCGGAAATGTGTGATCTTACATGAATGTTCGAGGTGTTCTCCAAATTCCATGTATCCGTGTCCTCTTGCGGTGATATGGAAGTCTCCCTGCACCTTATTTCCCACAAGATTGCCGTAGATTCTGCAACTGTCCGTCGGGCCGCGCAGCTTGGGTGTCTTGCTGAACTTTTTCTTTGTCGCTTTTCCCAAATGCTCGTGCACATCGCCATACTCTTCCCATTCCGGAATCTGGGTTGTCTCATCCTTGCCCAACTCGTGCGTGCCTTTCTCCGTGTTCTTGCCAGTCCACTGCGACCATGAGGTGGGGTCTTTACGTAGAAGCTCGCCGGCTAGCGTGCGGTCACCAGCTGCATCTTGCATATTTACGTGGAGGTCAGCACATTTCATGGCGACGATTATATCGAGGTTTATTTGCATGTCGTGAGATACGCCCTTTTCGATAGTGAAGCTTTGCGTCGTTGTGCCAGCATACCAGCGCGCAATTTCCGACCAGGTCAGATAGATGCATGTAATGATGAGGGTTACTGTCCATGCCGAAGAATTGCGACCCTGGACGAGGTATGTCTTTTTGGTTTTGGCTGTGGTTATCGGTTAGTTGTGTTGCTCGTCTATGAGTGAGCAGCGTCGCATCAGTTCAAACCACCATTGCAAGTGATATGATTCACCTTCTCCAAATCGCTGCGTGCACAAGTCCTCTCAATCTTCTGTACAGAAAGTGGTACTTACGAAAAGCATCGAAACTTGACACGATGCCCCCTTTGGCGGGTCCAAACGCATCCTCATCATGCCCATGGTCCCCGAAACCGTTCATTCTGGCTGCTCAGTCGTGACACTAGGGTACTGCAGCCCCAGTCGCGATTTAGCAAAGATCAAAATGGGAAGAAAGTAAAGGGTGGGGTGAACTAATGAGCAACGTTGACACAAGTAGGTAATGCGACGCGAAAGGCCACCTTGAACTGCTGTAATGATCGACGTCCGTGCCCGCGGAAGAGGCCCGTTTAGGATCGCTCCGCCACGTGCTTCCTTCACCCTGCGAACTTATCGTATGCACCATCCCGCATGATAATAATGCGCCCCAATCATTATTTGCATATCTCAGAGTTCATTATGCTTGTTCATTGTCTTAATGCTGCCTTGCTAAATATGATACATCATGCCTTCATTGATCAAGTTGAAGCAGTAGTGTCCCCAAGGTTGCTAAATTTGCTGTCACCATCCTGTGCCATGTCGGCCGTATTGCGAGTAACACCAGCATTTGCAGCATTCACACCCTGCAGTTTGCGCTCTGCTTCCCTAGTGGGATCGTTGAGTGTATCGATTTCGCCATACTTGCGGTCTCCGTGTAGTTCCGGGTCCTCTGTCAAATTGGCGCCCTTGGGCTTAAGTACGCCTGGATCGACATGTGTACCAGAGAGAGCAACGGGTGCTGTACCCGTCACGCTAGATACTCCTCCAGCGCTACCCGAAGTGCCGCCTAGACCTCTTAGATCTTTGCCTGAGCTTATGGTTTTCTCCTCGTTCCATCCTTCCTGAGCATCTCGCGCTTCAGAATTAACGGCAGCGCTGAGCTTGACGGTGTTTGATGTGTCGGTTGTGTTCGTGGTTGTCGATGAAGAAGGCTGGTCTAAGGCTCCTGCCTTGGGGTTGCCTTCACCAAAGTGGCCATGATTCTTAAGGGACTCGCCTGCGAGAGAGTCGGATGTTACGACACCGACCGCCTCGTTGATGGGAACTTTCGACGCAGGGTCGGTAGTTACCTGGGAGATGAAGTCAGCTGTGTTCTTACCTCCAGCATCTCGTCATGAGGTAAGGTGAGGGTGTGTAGGCCCGTTCTCTGGTAATACTGCATGCATACCTTTTGTCCGATGGAAGTCATGTTATTTAGATATCTTGTTATTCGGGATGAAGTTGGTTGGTTTTTTTCTGAGAGAATAGGATGCAGGTATTCAGTTGCAGAATTGTAGATGGTGTGTGATTTTCGCAGAGAAGTGCAAGCTGCCTTTAATGTATGCTCATAAATCATTGTGACCTATACATACGTATGGCGTATGTTGGCGTTTGTGTGACGTCAAAGGTGCTTTACCTCAGCCTTGACTACTAGTGCTGCCCTGTTCTGGGACAGACGTGGTGTGAGATGGACTTGGATCACGGAATTTACTCCATTAAACCACAATGGACATTGGGTATTCATGTGTGCTTTGCGGCTAGGGTAGCGTCGGGAATATTCGTGTCTAGGCAAGCCTCCATGAGCACCTAGTTAGTGTGTACGTACACTTTCTTGTTTGGACCAAGAAGGCGAGCTTACGGCGTTTAACCCTATATTGCTATTAGAAAGTAACATGTCCTTTTTCAAACACATCTAGAAAAAAGATGCTATTACTACCGTACAATTCATAATCCACAGTCTCTTGGGGTATTTGGTGTTCACACTTCCGGCGTTGCTTCGCTTTGATCGAGAGATCAAATGCACCAGTCAGACAGCTAGCCAAATGATAGCGAATACATTCAGTAGAAGAAATCACCAATATTAGAAACAGATGTGTTTCATCATTCATTGAATTCGTATATTAAGTCGTCAAGATACTGCTCTTGCAGTCGGCCAGCTGAACGCAGTGACAGCGACCTTGTATGATAAGAAAATCCTCCAATCCCACTACGCTTTGGGTATTTTTGATCATCATCCTCGTGGAATACTCTACTGCTTGAGACCAGAGCTGGGGTCGTTCTTCTGTGGGTATCCGTAGTCCTTGCCCGTTGTGTCGGCAAGGCCAGAGTGGTTCTTGGCCTCGCGAGAAACAGCATCGTTGGGAATGCCATCGAGACCATCCTTTGCCTCACGGGCTGAAGCACCACTAGCACCGACTGCGGGCTCACGGATAGCTCCGCCGCCAGAAGTGAAGCTGGCTTCTTGGCCACCCGAGCCAACGTTGACAGTACGAGCGTCGGAAGAGTTGAAGTCGGAGGCGACTGGAGGCTGGTCGGGAAGAGGGAGGTTTGATTGGGCCTCATCAACGGCCTTGTTATTACCCTTCATGTCGACGGTGGTGTTGGCGTAGCCTTGCTGAGAAGAGACCATTTTGGTTGTGGTTGTGTGCTAGGTATGTTAGTACTTAGAAGTACTGAAGGCATGCATGTGGGGCCGTGTCTCGCGTCAAGAACACCAACTTGAGAGCTTCCTACCACCTACTGCATAGGATTGTACTTACTTTATGAATATGAAGAGGAGGCGAAGAGTGTCGGGGGTATGAGTTTCGGGTTAGAAATGTAATTGAAGTTGTGGTTGTGATACTGGAAAGAAAACTGCACTGTGAGGCGCGTTGGTGTTTTATTATGGTAGCTGAGAACCTTCGCCCCACCATGACGTCTCACTGATGCAATTTGCCCATCGCAGATTCCCACCCCAGCAGAGTGGGTTTGTTCGCATCATCGGATGGTCTTCTGCAAAATCAGCTAGTGCTTGCGCCCGTGCATCGGGACAAGCGAGCCGCAACTCTGGAAAGTGTCGCGTGTCGGTTGGTTGTGATTGGGGGAACTGGGAAGCCAAGTACAGTAAGACGTAAGCAGTTTCTGATTGCTTCCCTTGATGATGGGAAGTTTGAAATACAAAGTATCCCCATAAGGAATGTGCCTAGTTTCTCCTTGCGGTTGCCCTTTCCCCATTTCTACCCCTAGCAAAGTCCGAAGATCATCCTAGCAATGAAGCAAGCAGGAAACCAATACCAAAGACAGCATAAATAACGCCTAAGTGGAGAATGTGAGGTATCGGTCCCCAGACCGATGACACGACAGGGATCTGCCGGCCATCGGACGGGCATGGCAAGCGACATACTGCCTAAGTTCAGCACAACGAGGTCTTCTGATGCTTGTTTCACCCATGGATCCTGGCAAAAAATGGTCCCTGCATCGGGGTCTCGATCAACACGTACATATCTCGTGTAGATTATGACGTATGTGTGTAGGCGTTTCAAGGTATAGATGCCCAATTGCGCAGGAACCAGTCTTGGAAACGAGTGACGTGGATGTTAGGGAAGACGGTGTTGAGGTACGCAGGCACTACAAAATCGTAGCGTCCCTCTGCCGTCGCAAGCAGCGGAGCGAGCCGTCTTTGTCCAGCCACATCATCTTCCAGCTGTGCCATGGTCATATGGTACTCGAGGTCTGCGAATTTAGTCAGTACAAAAATTGACATGCAGTAGGAGGGCGACGTACTTGCGGGAGCTTGGTATTCAATGCTGACCCAAGCACGATCTAACAAGAGTCAGTTCACTCTACTTGTCATACTCGAGAGGTTCAACATACTCCTACAAGCTCTGATTGTCTCAACAAGACTATGCACAGTCATACGCTCGCCACATATGCTCATCTCTGAAGCCCAGGTGGGCATGTCAATGGCTCGAACTACAAACTGTGCTACATCATATGCAGATGTCAAACATAACCAAGAGGGGTTTTGTGCGGCATCGTAGATTGGCGCTATCGAGGTCATCTGTCGGGGATTGGCAATGAAGTCTCCTTCGTTGCCATAGCCCGTACTGGCCCCTATACGGTGAGACATCATTCCATTGACGGAGAATCGCTCATAGAGTATACCACAGACGAAAACGGTGTGTTGAATATAGCCACTGTAGTGCTTGAGCAAAGCTAAGGCTGAGTCCTCCCCACGGTCGAGTAATCCGTTCTGACTTCGCAAACCGGGTTGACCTTGGAACTCGGCAGGCGCGAAACGTCGCACACGACATTGTACAGCCGCTTCAATGAGCCGAAGCTGGGGGTTTCCCAAGACTGTGGATATGACTGTGTCAACGCCCATCAAGGCATGTTGAAGGGAGGCGGCATTGTTGTAGTCTACAGTCTGACAATTGTAACCAGATGCTATGAGACTAGTTTGATGCTGATAAGAGTCAGCTTGGCTAAAGTAATATAGCAATCTGATGCTGAGCTGTTTCTAAATACATACCGTTCTCGAGAGAATGACCAACTGATGACTAGTTGAGTTGTTGATCTCCTGAGCTATCAGAAGTGCTAGGCCACAAGTACCTGATGTTAGTTATAAAGTCAGCAGATTTCTTGAGATATTCTAATCACCGTCTCACCTGCTATAGCGATGCGCATGTTGGCCGGCATTGCTATTCGTGATTTATTTGGGCTTCTTGGTTCTCGAAGGATTTCGAAAGTTGACAACAGGGTTCGACCTCTCTCCCTTTTCTATTATCACACCCAGGACTCACCTTGGGCACCACCCATGACCATTTGCCCTTCCCATATTACAGCGTATTGACGTCCGTGACTCACAGGGGTGTTTCCGAACCCATGGTATGGTGGAGGCCGGCAGCCATGGCGGGACGGACGCTACCACCATGTTCTGCAACATCCAAGGATGATTGGGGAGAACTTGGAGAATTCTGGTGAAATCCTGTGGCAGATCACATATCTGATACCGTTGCCTGCTTCGAACATATCCTCCGTGGTGGGACCCGGTGCTGTAGCTAGTGTGGAGGGGCCGAATCACCGCCACCCCGTTGCTGCAGGCGTCCTGTGACTCTTAGTAGCAAAGGTAATACAAAATATAGAAAAGTGTACGCGGCATATGCGTGGGGTTGAAGTGTGTAAGCATTAGAGAAAGTGCTTAAACTCTCTATTTCACCATAAGACTGGATATAACAGTGGAAGGAATCAGTTACCGGTCTTTTGAAGCAGCTATCACGCGGGTTCATAACTGTATGTAGAAGCATGGCATGGAATCATGCATTAGGTAAGGAATAGAGCAGTCAGTCAAAGGGCGATGGCTTGATCACGGTATGTGCTAGTTCTTGGACAGAACCCTGGAGACTTTCAGAAACGAGTTAGAATATTCTTATCAGTCTAGCGACGGATTTACGTAGCAATAATTCTTCCAGGCTCAAGTTATAGGGCAGAGGAACATGGGTATGCTACCGACATGCGTACATACATGTTTTTCGGAGACAGCGATTGGCGCGGGAGAGATTCACCAATCATGGGCGAGCGAAGAAGCCAAGAGGTTCTCGGAAGATGACAGGAAAGGAAAATGGGGCCAAAGACTAGTTTAGTGTCCAGAATGGCGTATACACCAACAACAGCCACAACAAGCAACCGATTCGCTTGAACAACGGACCCTGAGCCGGCAGAGATGGCAATCGGATTTTGTGGCTGTGTGGGGATAAGCTATTTGGCTAATCTTCCTATGCCTCTTTCAGTAATTTTAAGGCTGCCCCAGTGTGTGCCTAGAACTTGGGCGGAATTCGCCAGTATGTGCAAGGCAGAAAGGACGCCCTTTTGACTGACTGATAGAACGTGTAGAGATGACGGAGGCTACAGCAGCTCGTCCCATGGCCTTCTGCCTTGAGTGAACCATCTTCACCGGTACAGGTGGGGTAGCAGGAAAAGCAGACATTGAGTGCATCAACAGACCCAGGTGTATGCAACACGTCAGATGCTAAGAAAGAAGGACCGGTTGTGCGCACACTCGCAAATAGGAGATGGGATGGGATAGTTGAAGAATGAGTCGTTGCCTAGATGAAGCGGCGACAACGCGTAGGTGCAAGACGGGGCATCGGAAAAGGCCTATGGTAGACAGTTTGCGTAGAATCGCAGTCCGGATGTGTATGTAGAGTGCACGTACTATGTGTATGGATCCACCGATCGTGTTTTGCGGAGGCGGCGTGGGGAGGGGTGCTTAATTGGGTTTAGGTATCACGTGCCGACGTGTTTCGCGAGCGGTACTGAAACTAACCGCGCCGCTTTTGTAGGCAAAGTAGTCGCCCTATCCGTGAGGTGGCATGGATGGTTCATTGGACTCTCTGTCTCGATATTTTGATTGTTGGATCCCGGTATGCGCGTCGTTATGCTGACGAATCGAGCACAAGTCTTCACAACTACTATGTCGTGAGATGATGGTTTCGGCACGCGCACAACTGGCCGGGGTTGTTCGGATAAGGCTGACAGAACGGTGGAAAAAGCAACGCGCAAGCGGGCAGGAGAGGCAGCGAAGAATGAATGCATATATTCATCACACGAAGCGCGTCACGAATGTGTCGCCAAGTAGCCCCGCGATGGTCGTGCATGTATACGTGACGATCTGCAGTACAGGATAGACCTTGGACGTGAGGCTGGTGGGCGAGTGTGTGCACAGACGGCGTGTTCGTTCTTGGGGCAAGGTGGGCTGCACGACATAGCTAGGCAAGCGCCCGGCTCGGACCAATCTGATACGCACGCGACGGGAAGACGCGCTTCTCACGACCCTTTCCTGCCACCATATTGCGCGCGTTATTCTTTCTATAACCTCTGCATGCCGGCCAATTCTTGAAAAACACACTGTTCTCTCCTTCCCACACCTGGTGCCGCCCCCTCACCATGACTTACTCGTCGCCTCTGCCCTCGTTTTCGTCGCCTGCGTCATCGCGTCTCCCGACGGTTAGACGCGCAAGTTTCAGTGGTCAATTGGCTTTTCTCGTCCATTCGCAGGAAACGGTTGCAAACCACATGCCTCCAGACGTCGACAACAAGGCTCTCGCTCGTCAGAAGCGAAGACGCACAAGGTACGTGGCCAATTCATCCTCTTTCTGTTCTTCCATTTGGCAGCGGCCCATGTTCGACATATACTCGCCATGTTCGACGCGCGCTGGTTCGTGCGCGGCCTACCGCTCGGGAGCTATTCGGCCTACTACCCCGCGGGCAAGCGACACTCCAACATGGCATCGCCGCTGACCACGCCCACTTGCAGCAAAGAAGACGAAGATATACTCAAGTCTGAGTACCTGAAGAACCCCAAGCCCAGCAAAGCTGCCCGCCTAGAAATTGTCAAAAAGGTCGCGCTTGGCGAAAAAGAGGTCCAGGTACGACCCATATTACACCACGTCACGAGTATGCGTGCTCCTGCTAACTTGTCTTCTTAGATCTGGTTTCAGAGTAAGTCGTTCCTTCCTCGCATCGCTGCGCATATCGCTGCTGCCTTGCAGCAACAGACTGCGTTTGTCGTGCGCCGCGCAAAGCTGCACCAACATTGAAACATGTCCTGATCATGCCTTGCACCAGATAAACGCCAGAACGACCGTCGTCGCTCGCGCCCTATCGAGCCGTCGTCTACCGCGTCATTCATGTCGTCGTCATCCACCATGTCAGACCCGCCCACCGAGGATGAAGTAGTGGCTGTTGCGCGCCGTATCGATAACGCGCCGGAGCCGCACGAGTCGGACGAGTGCCCAAAGTCCGATCCACCAGAACAGCCCGCAACCCCCGAACTGACGTCCGACGAAACTATCCCGGAGCCGCGCACCATCGACACAGCTGTCTCCCCAGCTGCTGAACCTGAGAACGCAAACGAAGCAGCTGTAGAGCTTTTGTCCGAAGCACAGACCGGGATAGCTCCTCCCCAGACCACCAACTCTCAGCAAGCCGTACCATTGTCACAAGGTCCCACGCAATCACGCACATCATGGATTTCCAACCGCCGCAGTGCCTCATTCGTCCGATGCCTACAAGACTACACGCCTGAAGTCATCACCTTCCCGAATGCTCCGCCCAGGCCCCTGGAATCACCTGAAGCCTTAACAAAGACCCCTTCACGTCCACTGAAACGCACGCACTCGTTTATGCGCTTGTCGACAAACGAGAATGGTACCGCCCGCATCGTCACCGACTTAGACAAGACCCCTTCACCGCCCAAATCAAAGAAGACTCCATGTTCCTTTTCTCGTGCTGCAGCTGGACTTCGACGAAGTTACAGCGCAGCAGGCTTGAACGATAGATTGGCTGCTGCTGCACGAGGAGAGCCAAGCCCAAAGCTACCAAGGACAGGATCGAGCATTGGGAGGAGTAGGGACTCGCGTGCATGGGAGTTTTGGTGCGACCCTGAAGCCCGGTCTACGACAAGCCTTACTGCGCGTGCAGAACAAGAAGAGAGTGGGAGTGCAGCAGACGCGATAGGCATACTTCGCGCAAACCGAAGAATACTAGCTCAAAACCAAGCGCGTCAAAATAGCAGTCCGCTCACGCGTCACAGCTTACACAAGGTACTTGGTAGTCCGCTAGTGAAGAAGTCGCGTGGTCCCATGCAACGCGCTTCGACAGTCAGCGGTCGCATCCCGCACATCGAGTATTCCAACTACAAAAGGGGCGGCGACAGCACCGAATCGGACGAGATGCCACCAACAGAGAGCGACAAGGAGAACTGGGAGCCAAACGCGTCCAAATCGGTACGTCGCGATCGACAAGTTGCTGCTACGCCTCCAGCTTCAAGAGGTGCTCGTCAAATCCTTGGGGAGAACATAGAGTTGATGTCACAAGCATCAAGTCTGGGAGCAATGTTAGCCAAGGAAAGGAGGGCTAGTGGGAAACTAGTCGTTGATCCCGAGCAAGACGATGAATTACGGCAGTTCATGGGCGGGGATGGTGCGAGTGGGCGTTCGAGCATCAATTCAGCTGAAGAAGCTGGGTGTGTCGAGGGTTTGCTGAAGCTGAGCCAAGGCCAGTGGAGATGATTATGCAACAGGGCGTGATGCTACTGGCACAAAACATCTTATTTTTGGTGGTTGTTTTACTTTGTATTGTCTGCATATACAGCGCTCATTTTCCTGGTGTTTTTTTGGGCCCAATAGGAAGGAAGAGCGCAAGCTCAGGATAAGAAAGACATCAGCTGTGTCTGCAATATATTTTGCATGGGATACTGGCGGTTAGCACATAGAGTAAGTGTATAGCATATGATTTGAGAATGGCGGCTTGTCACTAGCTTCTCGAATGAATAAACATTTGAAATATTCACAGAGTCTGTTCGGTATGCGATTTTATGTGCGAGAGATGTCGGTGTCTGCATTTGGGACCGGAGAAAAGAAAGCAGAATAGAGTTACTGGAAAAACGAATGCGTTGGAGAAAAGGAAAGAAGATAAAAGGGGGGAAGGGGTGGTTAAGTATCAATTTGCGAGTGTGAGATGGAAGCATGGAAGGAGCAAAGAAGCAAACGGCAATCACGTGAACAAAGGCTCAGATTGACTGGAAAGAACGACTCAGGACGAATAGTGACAATAGGTGTCGCAGACAGAGAGATCAACAATGTGGAAATCAAGTCACTTGCTATGAACAAAACACACACAGAGAGGTGGTACGACAACTAGATGAACGCTGTCTAGTTTGTACATTCCTGATTGCACACACACACAGATAGGGGCAGTGATAGAGAGAGAGAAAAAAGAGCCCCCAGTAGACCTGACCACCCTTTATATATGAAGTAGCCATGGATTAGAAGATTACAAGGCGATAGAGTGCGATAAAGAAAGGAAAAAACCGGGTATATGCAGGAAGAGGCAGAGCAAGTAGAGGAGCGCATGCAGTCGTACAACAATCAGAATGTATGGGGGAGGAATGATGCTGGCCAAATCGTCTACTTGGCGCCCGGTGGCAGCTTTACGTTGTTGGAGAGCCATGCCTGAGTCGTGTTAGCAAGATGACGAGAAAACAGGTGGCGGGTGGAATTTACCAGTCCCTCGAAAATACCCTCGCCTGTTGTTGCGCAGCTGGGCTCGACTTTCCATACGTGGTCTTTGGCAATCTTGTCTAATTGTAGCAGATCGGATACTTCCTTTGGTCGCATCGCTGGCCGGGGTTAGCAATTTGTTTCTGGTGATGGTGATTTCCATGTACGCACCTCCGCTCAAGTCCTGCTTGTTGGCGAATACCAGCAACAGCGCGTCCTTCATTTCCCTGTCCTGGATGATGCGGGTGAGTTCGGTCTTTGCCTCCTCGATACGGGCGCGGTCGTTGGAGTCGATGACGAAGATGAGTCCCTGGGTTCCTGTGGCGTCATGTCAGCACGGGTGCTTGCATGTCGAGTGCTGCACAGCATCAATCGGGGTAGGGCGACACATGCGCGGCACTGTCGCGTGCGCACATGTTTACTCGCCTACCCGAAACAATGCCGTGACGGCCCAACATACCAGAGAAGTAATGCCTCCACAGCGGGCGGATCTTGTCTTGGCCGCCGACGTCCCAGACGTTGAACTTGGTGTTCTTATATGTGACGGTCTCGACATTGAAGCCGACGGTGGGGATAGTGGTGACATCTTGGTCAAGCTTGAGCTTGTAAAGGATGGCTGCGAGGGTTCTAGTCAGTCGGGTTTGGCCATTGGGCGGACATTGAAGATGCTGCCAACATACTCGTCTTTCCAGCGGCGTCGAGGCCCAGCATCAGCAGCCGCATCTCCTTTGATCCGAAGATCTTGGCCATGGCCTTGGATATGGACGCGCCCATTGTGGCAGCGTGACCGTGGGGATTAGGTCGGCAGTGTGCGGGGAGGGGCTTGCCAGGTAGTAAGTAGCCGGTATACGAGGCAGGGAGTGACGGCGGTGTTGTTGTCTCGGCAGCAGCAGCTGAAGGCGAACGGGGGAGATTGGGTAGGCCGGGCGTGGGAGACGTGTTTATGCTTTGCAACGGGGCAGAGCAAGAGGAAGAGAAGAGGAAGAGAAGAGGTGGTGGTGGAGAGAGAAAGACACAAGACTATACTGGGGACGGCACAAGACGGGACGGGGCGCGAGAGAGAGATAGATATGGCGTCGTGGACGCGGGCGTGTGTGTGTGCCTAAAATGAAGGTTTCAAGCCGGTCAGGAGTGAAACCAGAGGCAAGCAGGCCGCAGATCCCAGAGAGCCTCCAGCCGACGAAACATCCGTGCGCGCCCAACGGCCTTGCTCTTGACAGGTCCATCCATTCTCTCTCTCGCCGCACCACCATCGCCATCCTCAGCGCCCCAAATGCATGCAAAAAGGGGGCCCCGCCCTCTGCTCTGCTTGGGTGCCTGCGTTTGATTGCGACATACTGGGCCCCCGTGTGCGCCGTTCCTGTGTGGCCAGTGTGTCGGCAGATGCAGGTACACGGCGCTACTCCTGAGATTGCCTATACAGACATGCCGTAGTACATACACGTACATACAGATATACATACAATACATATGTACCCCTACTTCAGCACACGCTCCGAACCCACGACCTTTGCCCCACACACGCTAATGGTTCGCCTCAATGCCTGTACACCTGTAGCAGCCATTCGCTCGCTGCTCTTCACGCCGCGTCGACTCGCCGCTCTACTTACACGGCCTTGCCGATACACCGGCTTCTTTGTTTCTTTCCCCTTCGTGGCTAGTCGCACAAAGCCTCCGTCGTAATGTCTGCGTCTGCTTCAGCCGTTGCGACCCGCTACGTTGCAGTAGCAATGTCGCCCGCTAACCAAAAACACGTCTTATATCATCATGTGCGGCTCCACACGGGAATCATGTCCAAACAAGCACCTATACCGAAGCTGAGCCATTACCTCATAAGCATTAACCTTTGAGCTAACCCTATCAGCTCTTTACTAAGACCACGAGGCGTTGCTTCAAAACCGCGCCTTTGACATGGACACGCCACGATTCAACAGGCACAATCGCAATTCCATGCATGAATCAATCACGACGACAGCAATGCCGAGGGGCCTAGCTTAACTCCGACAGTGTAACAGAGAAAAAAATGCAACCAACAGTGGAACTTGGCGTGGGTCAGGACAAGCAGAAAGTGTTTCGGCTTGGCTATTTTTTATATATATCATGGGTATCGTGTTCCTCAAAGCCAGCATACACCACTACACTCTAGCAGCTACTCTCTCATTGCCCAGACGCTCCGCCGCCACTCAGTTGTTTTCTCTCCTTCATTCTGGCAGACTCCTCATCACACCCTCAAACGCCACTAGAGCCATGGCATTGGCTGGAAAGGCACGTAAAAAGCATGGCACAAAGCCGCGCCAGTATCCCCTCCACCCTCCTTCTCTGTACACTGTTTGAGCGGCATCTCTCCATCGGGGAAACCTCCTATTGTCAAGCGGATCTGTCATGATGCGCTGCTTGATCACATCGCTGGGATAGCTCGTCAACCAGAAAATCTGCGCCGAAAGACCGCCTGCCCAGAAGTTGACTGCAGGCGCTGACAGATTTGTGTGTTTCTGGAATTGTTTAGTGAACAAGTCGTACGTCCCCCACCAAAAACAAAAAAAGGTACGGAATAGCAGCGTCGCGCTCAGACCATGGTACACACCCTTGACGCCATGACCCTTGTATATCTTCTTCAGGCAGTCAATTGGTCCAGAATAGAGGCGCGCTGTCTTATCTGCTGCATATTGGACCTGCAGACGGGCTTTGATATGTTCGACCGGCGCTGCAATAAATGATACTGTCCAGCCTGCCATTGTGCCTGCCATGCCATGGGCGTATATGGGGAGCTTGCCTTGCTGTTCGCCAAATCGAACAGATGATGGTGGATTGAAGACACGATCGTTGAGGACGCGGCGATATACACTGAGAGATCCTAACATACTACACACTATTAGCAATCTGTCAAGTCTCAGGTCGAAAGTGTCATACATCGAGTCCATAAACATCCACCCCACCAACGGCGGGGTCGCGCCTTTGTACAATCCCGCGAAGCCCTCCTTTCTCAAAGTCTGCATGAGACAATCTACCGGACCTCTAAAATGCGACTTCTCTGTCGTTTGCAGTCGCACTTTGACTGTGTCGAATGGGTGACCGACTATATCTAGTTAGATAAGGACGTAAGCAACAAGTACAGGCTGTCATACCTGATAGCTTTGCAATGCCACTGAAGACACCAGCTACGAAGCCACGGTAATGTTTGGGCGACTTCTGAGGTTCATCAGAGGTCGCAATAAGAGCCGTTGCTGCGGGCTTCATATCGGCGGGTTTCAGCGCTGTAGTAGCCATTGTCGCGTCGCTATTCCCCAGTGCAATATGAGAATCATGCCTCAAAGAACAAGGCCAAGAGCAGATATCGGTGGGAAAGCATCAGCACCTCGATGTGTGCTAATCCTCATCCCATATCTTGTGCAGCGCGTCGGTAGCCTGCAGTCGGAAACGCACAAGCGTCCGCGATACACTTATGGTGACGATCTCGAGAGGGACCGGAGATCGGCTAAGGTCGGACCGTTCTTCGATTCCCAGGGTCCCAAGCTATCCGAATTGGTACGATCGTTACTACTTGGATTAGCGGCTCTTACGACCCCTCCAAACAAACCTGCAGTCATAGACAGACCGAAGATGGCGCAATTTGATCTTGTTACTAGTCGGATGGTCTTTCTATCAATACTTAACACATCGCGCCAGCTGCATTGACGCGTCTAACACGCATACATGTCAACGATGCAGAACGCGGCCGAAACACCTAGTACAACACCAGCGGGGACGAAGTCGAAGAAAGGTATGTTAGGTTTGGTCTAACATGGGATTGTTAAAAATAACATGTCTCAGTATGGACCACCTTAATCACTAACACAGCATACCTGACCGGGCTCCTCACTCTCGATTACAGCCTGAAGAAGCACGGCTCGAAATACCCACTCGTCGCACTATACACCGACACGTTCCCCGCGGAAGGCCACAAGGCCCTCGATGAGCGCGGCATTTCCAAACAGCATGTCAAGTACCTGCTACCTACGGTCAACAAAGACTTCACCAACGACCCGCGCTTCTACGACTGCTGGAGTAAACTGACGCCATTCTCTTTGGAAGAGTATGACCGGGTCGTCCAGCTCGACAGCGACATGCTGGTCCTGAAGAACATGGACGAGCTGATGGAGTTGGAGTTGGATTCACCCAGTACTGGAGGCAAAGGCGACAGGGTATTTGCAGCGAGCCATGCCTGTGTGTGCAATCCGCTCAAGAAGCCGCATTATCCCAAGGACTGGTACATCTCCCTCTTGCCTATATTCATGATTTGCGCAAACACTAGAACTAACATTGGATTAGGATCCCCGAAAACTGTGCCTTCACCTCGCAACACGGCGACCCTGAGGCCGCTCAGAAAACTGGTGCACCTTCCACAGCCGGTCTTCGCATGCCCAACGGAGGCCTACAAGTAGTCAACCCTTCCAAGGCTACGTACGACCTTATTCTACAACAACTTGCCAACGAAACGTCCATGTCGTACGACTTCGCCGACCAGTCTCTCCTCGGCGACCTCTTCAACGGGCGCTGGGTCGCCTTGCCATATACCTACAATGCGCTCAAGACGATGCGATCAAAGGGTGTACACGATGCGATATGGAAGGATGAAGAGGTCAAGAATGTACATTACATCTTGAGCCCGAAGCCTTGGGATGAGGCACCTGGCAAATGCTCTGTAGAAATACATGAGTGGTGGTGGCCTATCAACGATGAAAGACGCGCAGCGGAGAAGAGCAAGGGCATCGATGACGGTTTCTAAGGATATGCGCATGTAGACATTGGGCATCTCAATAGAAACCCACGGTAGTGGTAGTAACGGCGATGTTTTGTCTGGAGATACCTATGATAACTATGTACTCTGAGGACCCCAATGACATGGCACTTCATGAATCATTCCCTTTGTTCGTATCAGTCGTATGTGTGCTCGAAGGGACTATCTTCAAAGCTTGCCCTTGCCATCCTCAATCTCACAGAAAGCCTTGAATGTCACAAGACCTTCTGCGCCTTCTTCATCCTCAGCATCCACATCGCTCTTGATGATTACCTCAGCCGTGGCTCCAACAAAGTAAACGAAGCCCTCGCGCAACTCCTCTTCCTTGGGTCCCACACTGATCGTTCCCTTGCCCTTTGTGCAGAGAATAATGCTGGGCCCATCAATAGGATCAAACGTCGCTTTAGAGCCAACCCGGTTCAGCGCCGTGCGCACAACCGCAAACTCTGGGATCGGGGGATTATACAGCATATTGCTCGAGTTGGAACTGTATGCAGGCGCATTCAACCTCACACGCGAGTAATCCTTGGGCTCCATCTTCTGCTCGCTAATGGGGGCATAGCTATATGTCAGCATCTTGGTGAGGTTGTCGACGTCCTTGAATTTGGGTGTGAAGCCCGCGCGCACTACGTTGTCGGAGCTGGCCATGCACTCGATGATGTCGCCTGAGAGGTAGGCGTGGATATCGTCTGCTTTGAGGAACATGGCTTCGCCCACGTCGAGCTTGACGTAGTTGAGGAAGAATTGAACGAAGAGACCGATGTCGCTGGGGAATTGAGAGTCGAGGCGGATGACGAGGTCGGCGAGTTCTTTGCCTGTGTTGGAGGGCGGACCACCGCCTGCGAAGTTTTCGCCCTCAGACTTTGCGGCTTCGATGAGTTCTTTGCTTGCGGATTCTAGTGCATCCTTGTCTGTGTTCATGAGTTTTGTGAAGGCGGACTGGAGAGCCTTCTTGTTTGCTTGCACCTCTTCCTCCTTGTCTGACGTCTCTTTTCCCTTGATGGTCTCCTCGAATTTGGTGGCTTCTTCTTCGCCGACGAGTCTGCGTAGGGAAGGAACGGTCTTGAGGAAGTGCGTAATTTCAGCAAGCGGACGGAAGCCACAGAGTCCGTCGAATGGTGTGACCGCAATGGTCATTTCGGGCTTGTGGTTGTCATCTGGATGGCAAATTTAGTATCAATCCAGGACTGATGCATGGAGACTGACCTGGATAGTTCTTGGGATCGCTCGCATGTAGCTGCTCGGCAAGCTTCTTGTTGGGGTGTGCCTGTATGCTCAAGGCCTTGTTTATGGACAAGACCTTGAATAGGAACGGTAGTTTGTTCTCATATCGCTCAGCGATTTCGGTGGAAAGCAACGCTTGGTTCTCTTGGACGAGGTCTAGGAGGCTTCGCTTCGTCTCGAGATCCTTTGAGGGAAGTGACGGGTGGGTGCCCATCCACAACTATAAACGATGAGCAACGCGTCGACAATGATGCCGCCTTGATTGCATACCTCAGCGTACGGCTTCTCTTCTTCGATTGAAAAGTCCGAAGCTGTCGCAGCGTGGAATTTGGCAGCGGCCGAGTCTTTACCGACTTTCCCTGGGCTGGTTCAGCATACCGCTGATGGAATTATGATGCGGGGCTGCGTACCCCAGTCGTAGCTGTTCACGCCTGCAAGACAATCAATTTGTGTTCTTTTTCCGTGTTTTCAATTCCAGCTTACCGCATTCTAACCTGATAAGTGGGTTTCGCATTTTGGTAGGGCTTTGTATTGTGTGTAAATTGTGGTCAAGGAAGTGATGCGTGGCAACGGGTCTTTGGCAGGCCCACTTGTGCCGCTAATTGGCGTCCCCAAGCATCGTCACAAAGCTGGTCGGATTAAGCTCATGGAGACCCTACCCCTCTTCCGTTGCTAGCGCGGCTCCTACCCTGCATCGCAATCAACTACACGTGCTCTCGTTTGCATTTCCTGCTTCTTTCACTCTCCCTCCACCAAACCACACCGCTCCCACATGACCTGCCTGCAACGCGTCCGGTAACACAGAAAGTGCCGGGGAGCTGGCGGAGAACAACTTCCGTCAATATGGCTGCTCGAAGCAGGCCCCGCGGCCAACTCAAGGAGGAGTTCGATGAGGAGCGGGTGATTTGGAACTCGATCAAATCCGATGGCCGAAGGGTTGATCAGCTCATGGTATGAGACATCTCAATCAATGCATCCTCAGCACTCTTGTTTGCTAGTTTTTGACTGTATTCACAACGCGCCATGTAATCCACAAGCTACGCGACTCTCGAGAGTCCATTGGCTATGCTCGATCCAGCACCATGTATATCAAGCTCATGATCAACGATGAGAGACGGACGTGACAAAAGCCCAGTGGCCTATGATAGCCTTGTGGACAGAATGGTTGCGATGCGTGAAGCTCCAATACCCTACCGTTCATGCTTCCTTTCGCCACCCCGGATCAAGCTATCCCACGCCGTCGCCCTCTACTAACGTGTCGCAGAAAGAATCAGACCTTCTCCAGGAAAAAATCCTTGCTCTCCAAGCAGAGCAGGCCGCTCGTACAGGTACGCTGAGACCAGCTGGCGTGGCAGCACCAGCACTAACTTGAGCAGACCGTGGAGAGGAACGCTCAGCCCGTATTGATGATGATTTGGAGGACCTCTTACGAGATAATATCCGCAAGGTGGAAGAGGTCCAAGCTCTCCTCCAGCCTATCGAAGGTGGTAACGACGTTCATACACAAATGACTCTCCTTGCCGCTTTGCGCAACTCTGAAGAAGCTCAGCCATCTGCTTCACGATCTACTAGCGTTGGGCATGGGAAGTCTGGGCGCGACCGCCAGGGCAAGCGAAAGCTGACCGATAGCATCGATGACCGCGACAGTCTGACTGCAGATAGCCCCGGAGGCCCTAGCCCCAAAGTTATCATCAGCAGCCAGAAAGACCGACTGGTTGCCAAGTCTGGTGGCAGCAGGGCAGGGTCAGTCCCCATTGCGAGAGAGGGCAGCGTCAAGATGGAAGACGACAAGGATGACTCGGGTAAGGGTAAGATGGTTCTTCCTTCTTCCAAGCCCAAGCCCAAGATCAAATACAAGACCAAGCGTTGAGCTCCTTCGCTTTCGGCGTTCTTTCTAGACGACAGATGATACCCACTTTGGCATCTTTCCTTTCGGCTTGTTCGAGGTTTGTAGTCGGATAGGCAAGCTCAAAATTTCACCTCGTCCCATCTCATACCTCTTTTCTGTGTGCTCATGCCACCATGTAACTTTCCCGTTTAGCATCCGCTACATAGCCGTCATCCCATCATACTCGATATCAACGGGGGCTGACAAATTCCAGAAGTTCGACCGCGCCTTACCCCGCAGACTGAGGTACTCTACCGCAATAACGCCAAAAATCGATCCTCCTCCTCGTCCATGTCTTTTGAGGGTGAAGGTATCCTCTGTCGCGTGACATCAGTCATCGGCGAAGGCAAGCAGCGTCGATATGAAATTATAGATGCCGATCCAGATCCTCCAACCCCATCCGCGCCATATCGCGCCTCGGTGAATCATCTGATTCCAATTCCGCCCCAATCCTCTAATGCGACGCTGCCTGACCTTCCTAAGGGCAAGAATGTACTCGCTCTTTATCCAGGCACGACCACCTTTTACAAAGCGGAAGTTGTGGCTACATGGAGACAAGCTGATGGCAAAGTGAAGAAGGAAGATGGTGGGAGGGAAGGAGATACGGTTGAGAACCTGGTGAGGCTCAGGTTTGAGGGTGAGGACGAAGCGGATCGTGAGATGAGTGTCGAGAGGCGATATGTATTGCCAGATCGATGAGCATCTGTATAACAGTGCCGTTTATATACCAGACTCGCGCTAGCTACTCTGTAATTGGATAATATGCAATGGAGATTGGATACGTTGATTTAGAGCAGGCGTGCGTTTAAAGTGTCGACTGGTGTTGACAGAATTGAGTGGTAACCAGTCTTGCTCTTCGAGAAATTTGCATGTTAACATTTCTTTGACAATGTCCCGTCTGGTCACAACCTCTTCTTTCCTGACACTCCACTTCTCTCCTACAGTTGTGGGTCTGACTCTACAGGAGCACATATACTCTGTACACCGCCAAGCCACTAGCGCGTTTTTGTGCAAGACTTAGGTAGGCCCTGTCTACCCCTAACGCGAAGCCGCAACACGAATGCTCGCTTTGACCCCGCAAGACACCCCGCATACATACCAAGCATTGAATTTTAGTGTCGCCTCAACTATCAGCCGCATTTACGCGCTCATCCTGGGGCGCTGTCTTCTAGTCCAATCAGACAAGTGGTTGTCCGCAAGTCTACCGACGCCGTCGGCCTACGCCACACGCCAATCCAAACCCAACCGGCATCTGCACAAGTCTGACCCCCCTCCACGCGAACACCTGACTTCGTCATGAACAACTATTCCTTCCTTGAGTCCTCCCAACAACAGGCCCAGCAACAACAGCAACAACATAACCAATCGCGCCCACCGCCCTCACCCTCACACTCGCAAGCTGGCAGCATAGCAGGATCGCAAGTGAACGGCGGCGGCCAAAACGGTATTCCAATGGTCAACGGACTGCCAAGCGGTGGTCAGCAGACGGACATGAACCACCTCTGGGCCGTGGTACAGCAGTTGAGCCAGCTGTTGGAGGAGAACAAGGCGCAGACAAGAGGTATTGTAGAAGGGGTTGCTGCGATACAAGGAAGGGCTGCTTTGGAGGAAGGCGGAGAGGTTGGCGGTGGCGCCGCACCGAGGGGGAATGGCGTGAGTATGAGAGAATTGAATGGAGAGATCAACGGTATGTTAGCTGCCATTTCACAGCAATCAGAATGCCATCCTAACACTCTTCGCAGCAGCGACCCAGACACATCTCCAAAACCAGCTCACAACAGCCCAATCTACCATCGCTTCCCTCACCGCAACCAACACATCCCTCTCCGCTCTCCTCACAGACTACGAGTCCGCCTTGGCTCTTTTACTTGACAAGTTGCGCCCATATGCTTATTCCCAAACATCGTCGATCCTCGCGCTTCACAAACATTACCAAACACTGCTTGAGCAAGAGCGATCTACATCTATGAGTCTAAGGATCGAGCACGCAGAATGGCAAGCGGGACTTAGCCGCGTAGCGGAAAACGCAAGGAACGCACTACGAATGCAGGGAGAAGTTGAGGCAGGCTTGCGCGGACGTTGCAAAGAGCTTGGAGAAGAGAACCGTGTTCTTCGACGTATGGTAGGATGGGAGGAGAGAGAAGATAGTGACGTAGAGGATGAGGATAGTGTATAGCGAGGCGACAATAGGGTGGATGTTTATGCTGTTGTTTCGCGGGTTTTGTGCATAGCGATGGCGTTTGGGACACGGTTGTCTTATATCCATGTTTCCGGGGTCTTTGGAGTGAAATGTAGGCTATTAGAATACCATTACATTCTAGTATGAATAGAAGTCATATTACGAGGGAATTCATTGCGATCCTCTAGTAGGAACAATCAAAGTAGGCTACTATGGTTTAGTCTCGGAGGAGTTCAGTACAGGGTGAAGCTAATAATTACTCAAAGCCAAGCATTTTGCTTGTGGATGCTCAAATTAAAATTTTCATGGTGAACAGTAACACACAACACCAATTAGTCTTTGTGCTGTGAGCGATAAATTGAGCAAGCATTTTCCCACAGAGTTTGAACTCTTCGTGTCAACATCATATTATGAACTTACTTTTTGAGTCCTCTAATCGAAGAACTCTTGTTTAACTACCGTTCAAGCGATATTTGCACAACAAACTTTTGATCTCTATGGACGTGAAGCTTTTGGACAGTAGTATGGATGGTGAGTTTGTAGGAAATTACTACAATCGATGAAATTATATTTCCACTTATGAGCGCCTTTATGACAATGATTTCCATGGCGTAAAGGAAACAGACCCTCTTCTGTAGTTCAAAGCATATGACATCGTTTCCTGACTTTTACTATGTAGTATGCGTCCAGTTATCCTTGATGATCATTCGATAATGTTGGCGTCACTATGTGGTTATTGAACATACTCACTTCTATAACGTCTCACTTTTATGAAAGGTAGATATTGAGAGATGCTAGAGAAACTTTGATAGAGAGTGAGCGCTGATCTGCCGCATATCAAGCCACTGGCCTCGCCTAGATGGCTGTACTAATCGTATATCGACAAGTGCTCGAGAGATAAGGTTAATACGCGAGGGGTCCCGAGAAGGCTAAAGTCCCTAGTGTGGTATCAGACCAAGTTGAGGAAATGTAGAGATTTGTATTGAACTTGGGACCGTTTGGAGCATGCATGTATCTGCACCAGGGGCATTTCGAATTAATCGCGCTTTGTATATGACTCAAAGATATATGACGTATCATCCAATCCATGATTCTATTGAACATGGATTATATCCCCATCAAACAATGGCATCTCAACATACTGTTACTCGGAGCATACAAAACTTGCTCTGTGAGTGTAAGAATGGAAAGACGTTCAATGAGATTCTAGTCCTCACAAGCGCCAGAGTTCCTTCGTCTATTACAACGCTAGATGCCATTGGCCGGCCGAGTTCGGCCACCTTGACCGGAAAGTTAACTTTTACACGGTTTGAAAAACGTTCGCCATCCCGCGCTCAATCTCCTAGGCAAGGAGACGGAACCGAACAGGCGAACATGTTTCTACGTTCAGTGCGCACCTACCCACGGTCACTCCACACGCTGACCCGCGCAAGTGCGGTCCGGCCATCCACCTATTACGCACCAAACGAGGTCATCCGAACTCGGCAAAGCCCATGTCCTAAAATTTCTACAAAACAGTCACACTTTGGCAACAGACGCTCTCTAGCAAGCAGTGTTCCTCGCCTTCAACAACTCGGTTCGGCAGAAAGGATTTCAACATCCAAAATGGCAGGCGACGACCACTACCTCACGCTTTCGTGCCCTGACAAGGCAGGAATCGTCTACGCCGTGACGGGCCTACTGGCAAAGGAAAACCTCACGATTCTGGATCTGCAGCAGTTTTCCGACCCAGACTCCAAGACCTTCTTCATGCGCGTGCACTTTGGCCATGCCTCGGACGTATCCGCGCTGCAAGCCAGCATGGCCACGCTTGCCTCTGAAATGAGCATGACGTACCAAATCCGGCGCGTAGACGCAAAGCCCAAAGTGCTCATCATGGTCTCGAAAATCGGGCACTGCCTCAACGACCTCTTGTTCCGAGTCAAGTCGGGCCAGCTCAAAGTCGACGTGCCGCTCATTGTGTCGAACCACAGCGAATTCGCAGAGTTGGCAAAGAACAACGGTATCGAGTTCCACCATCTGCCTGTTACAAAGGACACCAAGGAGCAGCAAGAGACGCAGATTCTCGATCTTATCAAGCAGCATAATATCGATCTTGTGGTGCTTGCGCGCTACATGCAAGTCTTGTCGCCACGCTTATGCACAGAAATGTCAGGCAAGATAATCAATATCCATCACTCGTTCCTGCCGTCGTTTAAGGGAGCAAAGCCGTACCATCAGGCCTACGAGCGCGGCGTCAAGATTATCGGGGCTACCGCGCATTTTGTCACGGCGGATTTGGACGAAGGACCTATTATCGAGCAGCGCGTTGCGAGGGTCGATCATGCGTTGAGTCCCAAGCAGCTTGTCGAGGAGGGCAGCAATGTCGAGAGCCAGGTGCTCGCTGCGGCGGTGAAATGGTGGAGTGAAAAGCGAGTGTTTTTGAATGGACAAAAGACTGTTGTGTTCAATTAAAAAGCATTCGTACACTAGTAGGCGGATTTGGGATGTTGGGGGCGAAAAGGTTGTAAATACTACATACATACATAGGTTACCAAAAAAAGTTCAAGTTGGGGCCCTCTTTTTTTTTCTGGTTGCGCTCGTTGCGAGAGAGAGAGGTACGGCTTACTTACCGAGCTTCTTTTCCCTTCGTTTTTTTTTGGTGGCAGAAATAAGGTCCAAAGTAACCGACCAGACCCAAATGCAATCCATACAAACAACAAGCCAATACTAGATGAGAAAATCTTAAAGCTTTTAAATCGCCCAATAAACCCCCCCCCCCCCTCGTATTCATTACCCCTCACCACCTCTAACCCCGCCCCCCTCACAATTGCCCATCTCCCAAAAGATTCCTAACTTAGCCACTTACTTACTACCCCAGATCTCAAAACGGGTGAGGCAGGGATGATCGCCCTCTTCTCGGCACTTATTCCGCGATTGCAGTGGCACCAAAGCTAGCCCCAATGCAGCCGAAATGTGCCTCGAGACGAAGCACCAGAGGGTACGAGGCTTGCGTGCATGCTCGTTACGATCGGGAATTGTGGGGGCGAGTTATGGGGATAGCGAGGAAGGAAGGAAAGATGGGGATGGAGGATGGACAGAGGTGTATAAGTAGGAAGGGGAAGAGCGCGGGGGACGAGATACATTGGTACATTAGTTCATCACATACGTACAGAGGCATATATTTTCATTTTCATTTTCATTTGATCATTTTTTTTGATTGGAATTAGTTGAGGGAAAGAAAAGGATTGCAGATATCAACATGGCATCCAGTTCTTCCGAACCCGTCAAAAAAGTGCAGTTGGAAGGCAAGGTAATCGCCATTACCGGTGCAAACAGAGGTACGTAAAGCGCCGCCCCTCCCCCTCCCCCTCCCCCTTAACAAAAAAAAGACATTTATATCCTTACCATGCGGATGACAAGAATATATCTAATAAAAACCCCCCTCAGGCATCGGCCTCGGCATAGCAGACTGCTGCCTCTCCAATGGCGCCTCCAAAGTCTACTCCCTCGACATCGGCGCCCCGGGTGACGACTTCAGCGCCCTCGCCGCCAAATACCCAAACCAGTTCTTCGCACTGGAGGCAGACGTCACGAAAGAAGAGTCGATCCAGGCCGCCGTCGACAAGGTGCTGGGTGAAGCGGGGGCGCTGCACGGCATGGTATGCAATGCGGGGCGCACAAAGCACAAGGCGGCACTGGACTTTACGACGGAAGAGATTGATCAGCTGTGGGGCGTGAATTTGTATGGCAGTTTCTACTCGGCGCGGTGTGCGGCGAGGGCGTTTATTAAGCAGGGGGTTAAGGGAAGTATTGTTTTTACGGCGAGTATGGCGTCGTATCGGCCGAATAAGGTGTGTATAGCTCCTCCATTTTTCCTTATTTCCCTTCTTTCTTCTTCTTCTTCTTCTTCTTCTTTTTTCATGGTGTAGAGGGATCGAATTGCTGACTGACGGCTTTTACAGCGCGTTCCCTCAGCGCCGTATGGTGCGTCCAAGGCGGGCATCAGGAATATGACGCATACGCTTGCTATGGAGTGGGCGCAGTACAACATCCGAGTCAACTCCGTATCGCCGGGTCTGGTCAAGACAGCAATGACGTACTGGGTTGAGCAGCAGCCGGATTGGGAGCAGCAGCTCAAGTACTATGGTGGCATACCACGGTTAGCGGCGGTTGAGGAGCTCGGAGGTGCGTATGTGTATTTGCTCAGTGATGCGGCGAGTTACACAACGAGTATTGATATTCCAGTCAATGGTGTTATCGGTATTTGTTAAGCTGGGGCTGAGCAGAGAATCGTTGCTGTTGAAAAAGGCGACTGGAGAGCTGAGAGAAATAAGTTAGAATCATGTTTGAGTGTATCCACAATTAAAGATAACGTACTAGTTACAAATTTCCCCTATCCACTTTCCATGTCCGAATATGTAACCCGCTTCTTATCGGGGCGGTTGAGACCAGCATAAGGCATGCCTTTGTAAATGGGCCCGACCTCGGATGCAACACCAAATGCACAATGACCAATGCTCTGAACTCCGCCTCCACCTTGGTACTCCTCACTTGAATATGCAGGAGGATCACTGCCATCGGCAAGAGCGCCAAACTTGAGCCTCGTATTCATGAGCTCCATCGGAAAGGGATCGTTTCCAAGACACGCGCCACGACTGATATTGTCCAAAGTCACGTTTCGCGTGGTAACGAGAATACGCGAAAATCCAGTGGAAAAAGTCGTTCCGTCTTCCCAGATGGTAAACAATCCAAAGAGAAGTATACATAACGTGACGAAAATGACTGGAATGTAGCACTTCCATAATCGCCCAGGTACGTATACGAAAGAAGACTGGAGTCGCGATCGCTCGACTGTGAGCTTCTCTTCGTTAACGGCGAGCATTTCTGGTGCAGAGAACAGCGAGAGAACCATGTCTGAGTAGAAAGCCTCAATTTCAGCTCCTAGGTTTCTCTTGGGCTCCGCATTCTTGTGCACTAGTCGTGTCTTGGTGACGTCGGAATAGACCTGAGAATAATAGGGTCCCGGTAAAGGGGGTTCGAGATCGACGTGCCCGCGAAGAAATCCCCGGAACATGGAACCTAGAGCATGGTAGGCGGCGGTTTTCTTATAAAGACCCACATCATCGCGTGGGCTGATGTAGTTCTTTGCTGGCTCAGGGTCTCGCGTGTGGTTTGTTAGACCGTAGAGGCCATGAGTGAAATTTGTATCCACAATTGGGGTAAGATACTCTCGCTTGGCTATCGACTTGAAGAAAGGCTCGGTAAAATTCCATTTCACTGTGTACTTGGTCTCCATGTGTACACATCGGATAATGTGAGAATCAAAGCGATGGGTCCAGTGTTTTGCAAGAGGGTCGCCAGGCGGTAGTCTTTCCGTCGAATTAGTAGTGTAACCGATCCATAACATAGGCTCTGACTTGAAAACACCCAAATTTTCAGGTGCTTCACCAAGAGGCAGTCCTCCGGGCCCTTTGCGGAACTCGTCAGCTTGTGGCCGTTTGTAGTCCCCAATATCAACCTCGGCAAGGTAGGCTGCGCGACCCTGTGGGGCTATTTTGCTATGGTTAAACGGTGCGTCTAGTTCGCGAAGTTTGTTCTCATCGTTGATCTCCTCGCATTGATAACCGGGTCCATTAAAGGTCTGTTCGTAGGTGCAGTTGTATTGTCCTCCACAAGCCTGTTGTCGAGCGCCTTGCCGGGTGTTTGGATGGTCCATATTGCTGTACGCCAGCAAAACTCCAATCCGTACCAACTCTGCAGATGGCTGGTCGTAGTAATCGAACCAACCAGGTGCTGTGCCAGCGATATCAGTGGTGTTGTAATACATTACAGATTTCTTATTGCTTCCGTCAGCCATTTTAACCGGGTAGCGCCAGTTCTTAGTGGATTCCATCGAAAAATTAAGCGTCGGAACTAAAATGTCGACAGCCTCGAAGTCAAGATAGGTACCAAAGGTGAGGGCGCCAGGCGAGAAGATGATTGTTGCCAAGGGTATCAGCCAGATGATCATAGCGACGAGTACAAGAATAGGAGCATTGGTAATGGCCTCCCAATTTGCAAAGAGAGAAGGGTCTTCTGTTGCGCCGAAGAGCTGGTCGATGGAGAGCACCGTCAATGCCCGCTCTCGAAACGTCCTCCATAGTCGCTGTCGGAAGACCAGAACAACGCACCCTCCGAATGCGACCTTGGAGAGGTAGGCTAGCACACGGCCGTAGAGAACCAAGCGGAACTTTTTGTTTTCATCGGCTTCCTCTTTGTGATGCAGGGCAGTGTATAGAAGATGTTGGAAGAATGCGAAAACAATTCCCATGAGAAAAGCAAAAACCATGAGCGCTGGTGGGCGCCAATGTATACGCCATTGTGCTGATTGTGTAGCGCGATGGGCAATGAGCCTTTGCGTCATGGGATCCGTACTTGAAGCCCGAGAGAACATGCTGGGTCGCTTTCTATCTGCATCTAGAGCTGAATATGCAACATCTGGAGACTTTTGCGATCCTAGCGAGTGCATGTGGATGCCTAGGCCGGAATCGATATCTTCTTCGAATCTTGAGCGCCTGTCGCTCAAATCGTGAAGGGACTCATCACTGTTTCTGGTGGGCAGCGAAGCATAGGCTCCTGGTCTCGAGATGGTTATGCCTGGCGTTGGGGGCGAATTTCCGTGTTCCGTGTGCGGGACGTCCATGTTGAATGTCTGTGGTTGCTCTACATTACGAAGCATGCTATGTGCTTCGCTGTATTCACGTAGAATGGTGTTGTGATTGATATTGAAAGGAGGAGAAGGTCTAGACGTCAATACGCGCCAGACAGGTCGCACAGCTGAAGCGCAATTAGAGTCAGCTGGCGAGGGTTACACGTGTGAGGCTGAAGCCAGCATATTCCTATTGGACGTGCGCGCATTTAGGCTCCACCAAAAAATGTCAGAAAGCGGCAAGTCGTATCGCTTGCATTGTGTTCGCAATCTTTTTTTTTCTCTTGGGGGCCAAAATCCTCAGCCCTCTAGGTAGTAGCGCACTAATGAACCGTAAAGCCGTTGTCCCTTGAAACAGTATCGGGTAAGAGAAAAAGATGCAGGGTTCAAAGCGAGATTAAACGTATTTTTAGTTGCCGTAATATCACCGTACATGTGCATTCCATCATTGTTGCATATATCTTTCAAGCTCAGTAGACCAACATGACACGACCGCTTCAGACCTCGTAGAATCTCTTCGCCTCGTCTTCTGTAACAGGACTGACATAGCTCCTCTTGGAATCGATGAGTCCATACCGGTTGCCTCTGATTCTCCACCACATCTCTCTACGGTTACCGTTTAGCTTTCCACCTAGAATATCTTCTTTCAACTGCTTGATGAATGCGTTGTAGATCTCTGGCTCCTCAAGCTCAGTGAGTTCTTCACGCATGACACGAATTGCCTCAAGCGCACGCTGGTACGCGTTGTCACCGACACTATTGCTGATGAGCGAGCGGATTTCTTTTGCAATGCCATCAGCGGCATCTTGGATGGCATCCAAGTCGTCGGAAGCAGAGAGAGCTTGTTTGAACGAGGGAATCAGATTTTTAGACTCGATTTTGACGCGTTTGGGATTGCCCAGGAGTTGATCGACATCCAAACCTGAAAGAGGCTTATCACGCTCGGTACGCTGGCGCTTGCCTCGGCCCTTGACCTTTGGTGGTACTTTCTTCAATTCTGCCGCTTGCTTGACGGCATTGAGTTGCTTTTGTGCTGACACGACAAGATCTGCTGGTGGCATGGAATATTTGATGAGAATTTCCGGCGGATCAGGTATCGGCAGGCTGGGATCGGGATGTGTCGCTCGCCATCGTATAACCTGGTTGATGCGGTGGACAAGAGGTGAGAATGTATCTTCTGGTTTGGCGTACTCGTCTTCGTTTCCGTCTTCGTCGCGGCCAAAGGTTGATAAGTCCATGGCATCGACGTAGTCGCTCACTGCGTCGACGAGATTTTTAGTGGGCAGATCCTTGTGCTCCGTTATAACTTTACCGCTGACTGTAAGCTTTCGATCTAACGGTGGGAACTTATACCGCCTCATGTCTTCTTCGAAAGGAAGCTCTACGTCTACCAGAGCCTCCCACTCTGGCTCGATGCGCGGGACAAGCAGTAGCAAGACTGGGGGCTTTAAATCCTTTGCAACCAGCCTTGCGACTGCGTAGCAATCAGCCTCATATAGTGCATGTATGAAAGATGACAAGCCCAATTGAGCAGGCTGGTTGGCCTTTTGTGGGACAATGAAGTTTGTCCGACTGAGAGGGAGGTACCGTTCGAAGTCCTCAGCTCTGACAAAACCCACTAGCTCCATCGCTTGTTGTGTTTCCAGTTTGACAACATTCATGTCGGACTCGGAAATGTGAACGGCCGTACTGCCATATTCGTAGCCCCGCTCCAACTCGTCCATTTCAACGTTCTTCTTGATGCCGGGTTCAGTCTGGCTTTCCACCTGATATACACGCTGATTTCGTACTGCTGAGAGATCGGTTGCTGCTTGGTCTTGATCAGTTCCAGCAGCCGAGGACTCAATAACCGGGCCTGATGAGCCAGTAGCGTCTGTCCGTATGACGAACGAACTTGCTGTTGGTGGCTTTGCTATCATCGTACATGGGTATCGCTCAATATCGATTGTAATGGTAGCATCGTACTTGGTAGGGTCGCCCAAAGTTAGCGATCCTCTATAGCTGTGGACAGGCCGCGTCTCTTTGAGACGAGGCATATGAAGTTGGTCAATGGCTGTGGCTAGGGTGCCGAAGTTACCGTCACAATCTGCTATGAAGCTTTTCAATATGCCTTCGTTTTGAGCCTAGGTCTGGTTAGCCATGACATAATGAGAGGGTTTGACCAGCACTACCTTTTGGGGGTCTTTGTTCTCTTCTTTGAAGCCAACGTCGGGGTCGTCAAAGTCGATGCCGAGTAGTGTGATCTCGAAGGGAGCCTCCGGGTCTTTGATTTTTGATGTTAGTTGCTCCAAATCGTCTGTGACCATCTCCCCACGACCATCAGTCACGATGATGATTCTGCGGTCGTACTTGAGAGGGTTTCCCTTGGCACCCCTGGTTGCGGTATCAATCATGTGTATTGCTACTGCGAGAGCAGAGAGAACTGTCTGTGTTAATAAAGCGCATGCCGAGTAGTAGGTAAGACTCACTATCTCCATTGTTGGTTCTACTAGACTTGAGATGTTCTTGGAGATTGCGGATGTCGCCAAGGAGATATCTGCTCAGTGTAAGGAATTGCAGCAATTCCTGTATGGTGGAATAGAACCTACTGCTTTATTTTGGAGAAGACCCTGATATGATCATAGCCTTCGTCCTCCTCTATGATACTAGCGAGATCTGTTTCGTCAGTGCGACAACCGATAACGCTCATCAGCGCGCTTTTTCTGCCTGTTGCAACCTAGGAAGTTGTCAATCACAGTTCTCTGGATCATGTGATGCTATTTGGTGGCGTGCGTGTCTAAAGCACTAAATCGCCGAATGAACGTCGGCTTACAGTGGTTGTGATTTTGTCCCAGACATATTCCAAGGCCCAATCAAGATCAGTCTGGTCGCGGCCATTTCTCTTTTTGCCCATGGAACGACCGAGGTCCAGAATGTAGACGGTCGCTTCTTTGGCCGCCATGGCTTGGTGTTGATTGTTCCCTGCACGCGCCTCACGTATGCGTATGGTAATGGTGCAACGTGCTTTTGAAGCACACTGTGACCAGGCTAGATGCTTGGAACTGATGCACAGGAGCTCCAAATGGCAAATTCTATGCTGGTAATTTATACCAAATTGGACGAGGAGGAAGCGGCGTCCTAGACGTGTTTGCTGGGGCCATGCGAGACGGTGCAGCCTGTTGGATTAGGCAAACACACGCGTGGCGCAGCCGAGTGTGGGCTAGCGTAAACACGACGTCATGTGATGCAACTGACTGGCAATACTCTCTGCTTGTATGTACGTCTGATTTTATATGTCACGTATTTAGGAGCGCATTAATCACCAGAGCAAATGAGTTAGATCAAACTCCCGGTGGGAGTTGTGTCAAGTTTGCAAGTTCAATACTAGGGAGATACAAAGGCGTGTCACCTACACTTGAATAGGCGCCTCAGCATCCGCTTGGCCCATAGCAAAGGGCATTACCACATAGCAGGTACCATTCTTTTCCGCGAACCTACCTTATCGGCACCAAATTTTGCCATGTACCATTCCTTGGTACCTACTGCCGTCACACCGAGATTGGTAGCGACGAACATGGTTCCACAGGCCACAGTCCAATTGACCAAGCTGCCATGTGGGGCTGCTATGAGCGATAACAATGCGTAGATGACTACCTCGCAAGTGTAATGCGGACAGAGGAGATTGGGAAACATGGGGTGAGACGGGAGCTGGTAGCCTTTACTCTCTGTGCGCAGGCGGTAGAGGTGGGCGTGGTAAGAGCGCTGCAGCATCTGGGCTGTGATGACTCCTGGCACAAGGAGTGCATTCGCGGATGCGCTGCCAGGCGTCTCGACCCAGATGGCGGCGTTGATGGTGATGTAGAAGAGAAGGCCGAGAAGCCAGTGGGCAATTGACATTGTGCTCTTGCTGGCTGAAGTATAGACATGTGACTCGAGCATGCGCCGCAGACCCTGAAGCAGCAGGAGCGCCCACACCACCTGTTGCTGCCTATGCGCATGCCACACGCGCATCTGCCATGCCCACAAGAGCGAGCAGGCTACTGAGGTGACGTAGAAATGGGTGAAGAAGTGATGGGGGACTTGCAGCGAGGCAGCATAGTCGAGAGCGCGACTGAGTGCCGAGGGCTGCTGGTGGTGCTTCTGGTGCTCCTGGTTCCCCTGGGCGGGCAGTGTAGTGGCACGAGGGCCATAGGCTAGAAATCTGGTGCGTAGTGCAGGAACGGCCTGTATGACGAGGATCTAGTAAGCAGCAGCGGTTAGTGGTGGGCGCAGGCGGAGCTGAAGTGGTGTCGCGATACAAGAAGTGAGGCAGCAAGGTAGAAGGCACGCAGGAGGGCGGGCAGGAGGGTGGGCAGAAGCGGAGCCATGGCTGCTGGAGGCGTGAGGGCGTGAGGGCGTGAGGGGAGCGTGTCTGTTGGGGGGGGAGGAGGGGAATGGGGACGGTGACGGCAGCATGATGGGATGGTGGGCGGGCTGTGCTTGGCGCACCCGCGGGCCAACGGTGGCAGTGGTTGCAGCCGCAAGTGGCTGACGGCGCGGGTGTTCAGTGCCAATTGTGTTATTATTATGACTGTGGCCAGGCGGCGAGGGCGGCGATCGCTGTTGTAAGCATTGCTAGCGGGTGTTAGCTGTGCAGGCACAGGTAGCAGTGGTATTATGGGTAGGTAGGCCGCCGCTGGCGTGGGCAGAGCATCGCTGCCGCTGCCACTGCCACTGCCCGTCGCCCATGGGACTGGCTGGGACAGCGCATGGCTACGTATGTCTGTACAGGCGACGTCCAGCCCCTCCGGAACCCACGTCGTCGCCCTCACCTGGCCATGGTCGTCGCCCACGAGCGAGCCAAAGCTGGAACCCGCACCGTGCGCTAGGTGTCGCAGGTAACGATAGCCTTTGCGCGCTCACCACCCGCCGCCTGCGTGGCCATGTCGCCGCGCGTGCTGCGTGCGCCCTTTGCATCCCTCTGCCCTTTGTCCATGCCGCCGCCGCAAAAAAAAAAAGCTGCCCCATGGTCGACGGCATGCACACATACATAGACGCTCGCATTCACCGTCCGCCGTCGCCTCCGCTGTAGCAGCTCCAGCTTCACGCGCAGCAGCGCCAGCCAGCAGCATCCGCTCCAGTAGTAGCCGCACCCCCGGCGCAGGCGAGAGTGCAGGGTTGTGTTCAGGAGAGACGGGGCCCGCCTAGGATCCAAGCAAATGGCGCTCGCCGGTGAGTGGTGCAGCGCCGCCTGGCTACTCGCAAGCCTCGACTGTCTCTTCTCCGGCCTCTCGCTCAACCTCCACTGCTGTTCCTCTCTCCACTCCACCCTGCGCGACACCCCCCATCACGCCCTCTGCGCCCACTGCCTCTCCCTGGTGTCGCTGCCGCCTACACGCCCATTGTCCTACCCCCCTCCCTCGCTGGGCAGTTGAGCGCCGTGTTCCTGCCGTCTGCGCTCCCTCCCTTCCCTTGCTCTGCCGAGCCAGTATGAGGCAGGAACTGCAAGTGTCCTGTCCTTTATCGTGATGACCAGTAATGCCGATACTCTCGTAAACACGCCCTCTGCCCCCGTTGGCATCCTCCACGACCGCCCTCGCAGCTCCTCTCCACGCCAGCCCCACAAGCCCTCTGCTGCTGCTCTTCATTCATCCTGGAAGCCAGACCACACCTCGCTGCCACCTGCCAACCACGACGCCCATGACGATCAGGATGCAGAGCCCGAGTCCGAGGCCGAGACAGTCGTCCTGTCGCGCGACGAGAATCCTGCAGCTGACTCCAAGCTGATCAAGACGGAACGCGTCGATGATGATGACGATGACGACCACAGCAACAGCGACGCGACACGTCTGCGCTCCATCAAAGAGGAGCCGCGTCTGCACTCGCCCCAGCCAAACGGCCGCCAACGTAACAGCAACCACGTCAAAATCAACGGCGCAAAGAGCCCGGCCCCTTCGTCTCCAAACACGCGCACAAAGGACACCAGCCCCAACGATGCCGCCAAATCGCGTGGCCGCAGTGCCTCGACTGTTGACAACCGCAAGCGCAAGCTACGCGATGACTCGTTTCCGTTTGAGCCTCCGCGGCAGAAGGCCAAGACCGACACGCCAGGCTTTGGCCGCCCACACAAACGCTCCCAATCCACCCAATCCACTGCTACAGGCATTGCCGGTCGCAAGCGCCGCGAAGTCACCAACCTTGCCCTGTCCAACGAGGAGCATTGGTCAGGATCCAGCTCAGATCATTCAACCTCACCCCAGCCATTGTCTGCACCTCATCTGCAACAGCATGTCCGAGTAAAGCGTTCCACACATCGCGCTCTGACTTCCCCTGCGCGTACCATGCCTCATCGAAAAATCGATCGGTTTGGTGCCACTCGTCTTGCTCGAGAAAGTGAAAAGGGCGACTTGGACGCGGTCAAAGAAGCTTACGAGGAGGCGCCAGACGAGCTCGACCAGCCCGATTATGCTGGAATCACTCCATTACAAAAAGCCTCGCTGCATGGTTGGGCGCCCGTTGTCCGTTATCTGATAAGCAAAGGCTGTCGTACCGACTGCGAGAGTCATGACCGTGACACGCCGCTCATCGATGCAGTCGAAAACTCGCATCTAGACGTAGTCAAGCTTTTGCTCAACCAGGGCCAGGTCAATCCCCACCACTCGAACAAAAAAGGACAACGCGCTATTGATGTTCTTGATCCCGAAGACGAGGACGCGCCTGAGATTGAAAAAGAACTGAGAGAAGCAATGAGACAACGAGTGGATACCTCTACCAACGACCAAGAACGCACCCAGAAACAGGCCAAAACCGCTTCTCGCCTCTTGTACAACGAATTCAATGTTGAAACCCTTATTGAAAAGGCTGGAGACGGAGACATCCTAGCTGTGGGAGAATTGATAAACAGCAACATCAAGCCAAACATCACCTGCGGAGTTGCAGCAGCCAGAGGCGGACACTACGACATTCTTAGCATTCTCTTGGCTAGTGGCTTGAAGGCCGATCCCGATCCATCCAAGCATCCAGAGACGCCCATGACAGTCGCCATTGGGCGTGGATACCTGAAGATTATACAGCTACTTCTTGAACAAGACAACTTCAATCCTACGCGGAGGAACAAAGACAACAAGACGTACTATGAAATCTCAGAAGAACGACATGGACCGAAGTGGGAAGAAGAGAGGGACATGCTGAAACGCGCTTGTGAGGAGTACCAAAAAACTCATCGAAGTCCACGAAGAACCAAAAAAGAAACACCGATCCCTGCCGCCAATCGCGTCAAGAGAAAATCATCTCCACGACGGGAACGCTCTTCTTCGCCTCAAGCGGAGCCGAAACGCGCCAATCTCACAAAATCCAATACTGTATCCTCCGCGCCTCAAAAGTCACGACGGTTAATGTCCGGAAAGGAAAAGGCCTCTCGAGAGGGCCAGAGGAGGAAACGTGTTGTAGAAGACGACTCGACTGAAGAGGAGAGCGAGGAAGATGTACGGCCGCCTACACGCAAAGTCAAGCGGCGGTCCTACAGCGAAGGCGAAGGTGAAGAGGCAAAACCGGTCAGGAAAGCTCTGAAAGCACGGTCAGACGACAATGAATCCAAACGACCGGTTCATACACGTTCAGACGAAAGCGAAGAAGACCATAGCGCAAAACCTCCAGTTAAAGCAGCCGTGAAGCCATCCAAACCGATCAGCGCCAAACCAACCCCAGAGGTCGATTCACCTGACGAACGGAAGATTGTCAAAAACAAAATCAAATACAAAACCGTCGAGGAAAAGATAAGAAAACGGAGGCTGTCGGACGCATCAGCTGATGACATTAGCGTGAAGAGGACTCCCACTGTATCTGCCAAGTCGACACCGGCTCCACCCGAAAGGGTAGCAACACCTGAAGTGGAGCGTCTGAGGCGTCAGGAAGAGCAACAAGCACAGGCAGAAGCGAAACGGAAAGCTGTTCAGGCAGCAGCAGAAGCCGAGGCCGAAGCAAAAATCAAGGAAGCAGAGGAGGCCGCTCGCAAGGTTGCAGAAGCAGAAGAAGCGAAGAAGAAGGCAGAGGCGGAAGCGGAAGCTGAAGCCCGACGTCAAGCAGAGCAGGCGGAGGCTGTTCGTATCAAAAAAGAGGAAGAGACACAACGGCAAGCGGAAGAAGAGGCCAAGCGTCAGAAAGAACTGTTGGAACGCCAAAATCGTATTTCAAAACTCCCTCGAGCCCTACGGCGAGCCTGTGAACTAGGTACCAATCGACCACTCCACTTTTCAGGCGAAGAGCTCGGCGTCTCAGCCGTCTTCCTTCCACTCTTCTACGCAAACGCTCAAGATCTCAAGAGCTCACAGGCCTTGCCTGGCAAGACCTACGTCTGCTCGTTCCAAGTAGTCGGCATACTTGGACTTCCCGAACTCGATTTAGCCTACCTCGATGCCCCTTACTCGAACTGGACCCGAATTCCTGTCAATCGTACACAACGAGATGCAATCCTCCGACAATACGACGTTGCGCTTCTAGCTCAGGATTTCCGATTTCCCATGGAAGGTGCTCCAGACTTTGATTACGCGAAGATTCAAGAAAGTATCAAGGAGGCTAGGAACCAATTTGCAGCATTGGAAGGTTTATATTGGATTGAGGAATCACTTCTGTATGCCGAAGTGGACAAGGTGGAAACCCTCCGTCCGTTACTGAGCGACATGCGTGCTGAGTGCAAGCGACGACGAATCCATCTGGCGGATATCAACGACGAGCTACCGGAGAAGAAGCACAAGCCTCGCAAGAGTTTCATGGATATTGTGCTCTCCCAACATGGAGTGAACAATGCTGCTCGCGCCACCATCATCAACGGGAACGGCTGAAGCAACGAAAGCACTCAGGTTCACTAGTCACGATTAGCTCGGAACGGCTCAAACAGTAGCACAAATTGCCGCGCCAGCGGAGGGGGCCGACAGCAGGGTTGAGGGAGCGTCTAATTGAGGTCTGGAATGAGTCCAGGGGAACATAATACGTAGAAGTCGGCCGCGGAATTGCATTTTGCAACCTTGCTTGTTCACATCCATGGGCTATGTACTTGGCATGGACGCCAATCATCATCAACATTTTGTTGGAAGGCTACGGCGTTACGATAATTTCCATCTAAAAAGTAACGATTCCGGCCGGTACCGCCCCCATAGGGTTATTTTGCTCATGGCTGCGACCCAGAAAAAGGGCGGATGGATTGGGGGGGAGAGGGCGGGTTCAAGTGAAATAAGCATGAAAGCCAAGAGAGCAACTTTGTCAAAAATCAATGCATGATGGGAAATTAGGAAATTTTCGTGTTTGACCTTTTGGTTCTCGCCCAGAATGTGATTGCATGGATTATTTTAGGGATTATCCTTGTCTTCTTTTGACGAACACCCCACTTTTGAAAGGATCCACATTCCATCCTCCGAACTGCCCCGCAATTCGGAGCTCGGAGCCTGCATCTGCCTTTACCTTTCATGTCGGTTTAGCTGAGATGTGTGACTTTGTTTGTTGTGTACGCTGAAAACGAAGTTTCAACTCAAAAGCTGAATTCGAGTCGATCTTGCCAAATCCCAAACAAATCACCTCTTCTTTAACCCACATACCCTTTTCCTCCCACATCTCCTTCCTTACCACCCCTTCACACACACACACACACACACACAAAAACCCTCAAACAAGCTCGCTCACAAACCATGGCCCCCAAGAACAAAGGCAAAGGCAAAGACGACTCCAAGGCCGAAGCTTCAAAAGGTAGTGGCAGCGGCGGCGGCAAACTCAAACCAGCAACCAGCATCAACGTGCGCCACATCCTGTGCGAAAAGCACTCGAAGAAGGAAGAGGCGCTCGAGAAGATACGAAATGGTGCGAAATTTGATGATGTAGCGAGGGAAATGAGTGAGGATAAGGCTAGGCAAGGTACTACTTCTTTTCCCCCCCATCTTCCCCTCTCCCTCTTCTCCTCCCTATTTCCCTCTCTCATAAGAGGAAATAACATTGCTGATGAGAGTGCGTTTTGTGATATTGTAGGTGGTAGTTTAGGCTGGAAAGTACGAGGCAGCTTGATGCAGGACTTTGAGAAAGTGGCGTATGAGTTGGAGCCGAGCACAACTGGGAATCCTAAGATTGGGGAGGTCAAGACGAGTGAAGGGTATCATATTATTATGGTTGAGGGGAGGAAGTGAGATATTGAGAGACAGAAAGAGAGAGAGAGAGGTGTGATTGATACCCTGACAGAAGGAATGAGAATTGAGAGGCATTGATGTATGGACTGATGGTTTGGTACGTGTTAGGGATACGCTGATGAGGGGATCGTTCTATTTCTATTGGGCGGCTGGGCTTCCGTACGCCTTTGCTTGCAATAAGTCCTCTGTCTACCGAGGTGTCCCTGAGAAGCCCTCTTGCACTTCATATCTATCTTGCCGAGACGCAAATCTCATGTGCCTTCATAGTCCGTATGGCCAAGGCAGATGTCGATATATTAGAGGCAAGGAGATAGATTAGAGCTGGTGCGGGCTTGCCCCTATCCCTTCCTTCTATTGTGCCCAATGTACGGATGTGGAGCCTAGTATGTACATGATCCGCCCCATAAAGTAATTGGATATCGTATAGAATTGAACGCCGCGAACGCCGATGCTCAAATATGTCAACTGTCCGGAATCATGCTTGACGCTCATAGTGCCGCTGCTGCCTCGACGGCTCCCGTAAGCTTGAACGTTTTCGGGCTTGAGATGCTTATTTCGACGGGGTATTTCCATTCCATGAACTTGGCCCATCCTATTTCCATAGTCAGCATCATGCCAAGCTACTCTTTGTTTCTTCATGCTGAAGATGACGTACCCCAGTACGCAGCTTTCCTGCCAAAGTATTTCCCCAGATACGGTACCATGACCATTGTCAGCAGCAGTTCTAGCTGCTGCAGTGATTCTTTCCATTCTCGATCTGCATCTGACATGTATTCTTCCTCGTCGACTGAGGAACTCGAAGAGGAAGAGGGCAGGGAATCAACCTCGTCGACCGAGGAGTGCTCGACGAAGCTCTCGCTATTGCTCATCGACATGGCGGGTTCGGTGGCGGATGACCAGCAAAGGAAAGCGGTGGATGCGTGACTCGGATATGCGAATTACCACTAGAACATGGGATAATTGTAAAAGCGCAACCGTACAATGCGACGAGTACCTGTCGGGCTACGTCGGCGCGTTTGGTAATGTGACGCCTCAACCAATGAGCGGAGGTGGGGCTTGGGCAGTTCTCATCACGTGATGCAAATCTTGGCTCGTAGTTCGACTCACACATGTGTGTTGCGGCGAAGTTCAAGGCCGTTGTTGCCCACGTCTGCTCAACGCCACCACCAACAACTACCCACCAACAACAAGCACATCGAATCCTTTCTACAAGAATTATTACTGCAACACCGACGGAAACCTCTCTATACAACCGCAATCATGGCTGATACTGTACGTCATTTGACCCCACGCTGGCTATTCGAAATGGGGAAGTGGGCATTGGGAGAAGAGCCGGATGCAAGACCGCAAGTGACCTTACAGTCCTATGCGTATTAGAGCGATCTGCAGTAACAACTCAACGGAACTGTTATTGTGATCGCTTCGCATAGGCTTGCATCCGGCTTTATTTTTTCCTTCCTCTGTTACGGCAGGCGATGCTACACTTCCTACGCATGGATGGCAGCTTAATACGATCTTCTTCAAAAAAGCTTAAGCTAACATGACTTCCAACGCAGGCTGAGGTCCCCGAACGCAAGACACGTAAGTCTGTTCAATTTTCTAAAGGCACCACGATCGTCGACAGCAACGGCGAAGTCACCGAGTCTCTGGAGGTGAACGGCGGCAAGGAATCTGCCGAGGGTCACTCCTCTGGTGGCGGTGAGATTGCTTGTGTGTAGGCAACAAAAAACATAAACTGACGGGTAGGGCAGCGGGCGATGACAAGGAGGTCGAAGAGGTCACCGACATGTTCGCTGATCTCGCCAAGAAGGTATGCATACACGCATGTCTTGATGTCCAGCGGGCTGCTGACATAAGTACAGAAGAAGAAGAAGTCGACCAAGAAGAAGGAGGGTGAGGAGGATGATGGTGCAGAGGGCGATTTTGCTGCGCTGAAGAAAAAGAAGAAGTCTAGCAAGAAGAAGGTTGAGGATGATTTCGAGGCTAAGCTCGCCGCTGCTGGCGGAGAGAAGGCCGAAGGCGAAGAGGAGGCTGCCGCCGCCGAACCAGAAGTGCAAGAAGGTGACATGATGAAGGGCACTGGTATTTGGCAACACGACCAGACAACTCCCATCAGCTACAACCTCCTCCTCAACCGCTTCTTCACACTCCTCCACGCCCAACACCCCGATCTCGTCAGCTCAGGCACAAAGAGCTATAAGATTCCGCCCCCGCAGTGTATGCGTGAAGGAAACAAGAAGACTGTTTTCGCCAACCTTGCCGAAATTTGCAAGCGCATGAAGCGTTCGGACGAGCACGTTGCGCAGTTTCTGTTTGCCGAATTGGGTACGAGTGGTTCATTTGCCGACCAGAAGCGTCTGGTCATCAAGGGTCGTTTCCAGCAAAAGCAGTTGGAGAACGTGCTCAGGCGGTACATTGTCGAATATGTTACCTGCAAGACTTGCCGCTCGCCCGATACGGACCTGTCCAAGGGTGAGAATCGTCTCAACTTCGTCACTTGCAACAGCTGCGGATCAAGGCGTTCAGTCCAAGCTATCAAGACTGGTTTCTCTGCACAGATTGGAAAGAGGCGGAGAATGGTGGCCTAGGTTGTTCATTCTTGTTATGCGGGGTTTACGATGTTCAATGTTATTGCATGGCTCGGCTGGCTGGGCTTTTCGGTAAGCGGGCGCGCTTTGGACGGCTGCTTTAATGAGGGTCTTTCAGCGATATGAGGATGCTGTGTAACATTCATTCCATGGGTAGTTTTGCGTACATGTGGAATCAAAATGGATTCGGAATGATGAATGACAAGTGGAAGGATATCCAGTGCCAGTGTGAGGGTGTTACCTGGGTGATGCAGAGAATGATATATCCTCGAGTTGACTTCACTCGTTTGGGGTACGTGGATATGATTTCTACACTCCATATGCCTGTTTTCGTTCTGCCACTTTCTCCTAGTAAGACGGTACTACCTTGTCAGTATAGGTGTTTAAGCGGCGCTTTTGTTACCCATGATGGAACAGGGAATGCACTCTTTGTCAAGGCGATGACACTTGTCATTCTGTTAGTTAAAGTTGAAGTTACATAGATTGCCCAAGCTCGCAATGTGTTACTAGGGAGTCTAGGCTCAACATCATGCCTTGAGCTTGAATTCTGGAACACCAAAGGTCAAACTCGCCCTTCACCCATGCCTACGTCATGCAGCATGAGGGTTCGCCTTTACACAGGGTGCACGGTTGTGCCTATATGGCGTAGGTGTCTTTCATGCTTGGTTCTCTTCGTTGTGAGATGGCTTTTGAGATGTGCTGGGGAGCCAACGAAGATGAGACCAAGTATGCAGCCTGTAGTAATACTTGTGTTCTATAAGAAAGGCAAATCCAGCTAGACTCTAGTGTTGGTGAACTGATGTACGGTTAGCGTGTATCCCATTAGAACAGCAGTAGACATTCTTCAGCTGTTCAAGAGGCCAAGCTGGGACCAGTACCAAGTCAGCTATTCTCTCGAAACAGCTTGGCTTAGTGATGTTGTTGCATAGCGTATGGCCCCCAACGACATGGACATGCAAAGACAGGGGGGACGGCCTACAAGGCATTGATATGAAGTCCGGCGGCACAGAGAGAAGTGGCAGAAATATGGGTTCTGATTTGTTCGTCGTGTAGTATGCTTGTGCACCCCCGACCTAACTACCCAAACGACTGCAGGCGCCTCCGTCCCGTTCCTAGTGGATTGCACATGCAAAGACATACCAGGTTTGTGCAGCGTCGTCGCAGCAAAAATGGCAACTTGTGCATGAACTACCATGTACACTTATGCTGCTCACCCGTCGCACCCACTGGGCGCGTGCTACCCAGAGAGCCCAAGGCGAATGCGGGGCGCTGATTCGGCGGTTACAAGTCAACCCCACTAACCAGCAGGCTGCGCGCCCGAGGCTGAGCAGCCTGACCAAGAAGACAGGAATGGGGGCGCGCGGTTAAAACGCCTGTCTATACTGCTTGTGGCTTGCTGATATCTCCGTAGACTAATCTGAATCTCTCTGCTCTTTTCTTCCATCCTCTCTCCTAATTCTGCCTTGAGCTTGTGATACCCTTCCAGCATCGCCCTTTGAGCTACTCACTGCTAAGGCAGCTCCCGAATCAGCAATGTCAGGGCACCAGCCGACTCCGCCACCGGGTGGGAACTACTACCCTCGTGAGTTGCATGCTGTAAACACTATGAGGTAGCAACTGACATTGGCCAGCTCCTCCCGGTATTGCCCTCCTATTTAAGCTTGTCTTCGAGTAAACCTTCTGCTGTAGATACCCCTCTGACATATTTCAGACCAGCAACACCAACAACAGTACTTCGCGCCCCCTCCCGGCGGCCAATCCTACCCACCGCCGCCCTCTTCTCCCCCCGCGCACCAGCAACAACACTATCCGCCCCCTCCAGCCGTAGGCGCCACTACACAGCATCACTACGCACCGCCGCCTGAGAAACAACAATATGCGCCGCCGCCCGAACAGCAGCATTACCCACCGCCAGGCCAAGCGCAATCGCCCCCACCGCAGGCGCAACCACAGCAATACCAACAGCAGCCTATGAGCCCAGGCTTCGGTGGATTCCCTGCTGGAAGCCCAAGCGCGAGCCCATACCCGCCTGAGAAGCAAGGACACCCAGGCATGGGACAACCGCAGATGAGCCAGCAGAGTATACCACAGCAACCGCATTTTGTAGGCGCAGGGGCAAATGCAGCACCTGGAACAGTAGCCGCAGATGATGTTGGCACATTCAATGGAGGAAGTTTCCGTGTGAGCCACAGGGATACCAATACGATTCTCACTATACAACTGGCAATGGGGTGTCCATTTACCGTGAAACCCGGTAAGTTTATACACAGAGTAACCTGTTTTTTGCTCTCATTGTCGCAGAGACCAGAAGAGAGGATCTTGAAATGCAAGGACACAATTGCTAATTCCAATCTTCCATAACCAGGCGCTATGATCGCAATGTCACCCACCATGACACTAAAAGGCAACGTCAAGTTCTCGCTCAAGAAAGCCCTAATTGGCGGCGACATGACCAAATCCACATACACTGGCCCGGGAGAATTGCTCCTGGCACCTCCTGCAATTGGCGACATCACCATCATCAAGCTCGGCGGCAACGATACGTGGAGCGTGGGGCGTGACGCTTTTCTCGCATGCACCCAGGGCATAGTGACCGAGTATAAGAGCCAGGGTATAGGCAAAGCCATGTTCAGCGGCGAGGGATTCTTCGTGTACAAGATTAGTGGTACGGGAATCCTATGGTGCACCAGTTTTGGTGCCATTATCAGGAAAGATGTAAGTTTCTTCTTTCAACGTTCCCTTTCTTTTAAAAACAACCTTTTCCCTTATTACTTTTCTTCTTCTTCCAAGTGAAGAATTTTGTACTGACATGTATGTGATTTCTTTGTAGCTTGCCGCCAACGAGAAATACATCATCGATAACGGACACCTCGTGGCGTGGAATTGCAAGTACGTGCTTGAGCGCGTGGCGAGCGGCGGTATCGTGAGTAATTTAGCGTCGGGCGAGGGTATGGTGTGCAAGTTTACGGGCCCGGGTACGGTGTTTATGCAGACGAGGAATGCGACGGCATTTGCGCAGTTTATGGCTTCTCATGCTGCGGCATAGTTTGGAAGAGAGAGAGAGAGAGAGACAGGTTAGGTGGGATGGAGTGCAAGTTGATTTGGATTATTCTATGTGTAGAAATACCTTGGGGAAAACTTATGGATTATGACGGTTCGGTGTGCTCTCCGACTATTCTTCTTTTCTTTTAAGACTCATTATCAAGTGCTGGTGAGATGGACATGAAATACTAAGTAAAAAATGATACCGGTCATGCCAAATGCGTCATTATATTTTTTTTTCCCCTTTCCCTCCCTCCATTCGTCTAAACCAGCCCGTTCATATTCGAACTAAACGAAAGATTTGCTCATGCCCAAATCAATCAAACGTCGTCTTCTTACCCTGCGACTCGACAATCGCCTGGCTTGCCCTCGGCGCACTCGAATGCGCAGCACCACTCTTGATCGTTCGTGGATCCACCTTGCGCTTCGACCCATTGCCTCGCTCATTATTCCCACGGCCTGCTTTACCATCACCGCCTTGATCAAAGTTCCTCCAGCGATCCGGGTTGACTCCATCAACAGCCTTGACAGGCCTATCCTTGCCCCACCGCTTGTTATACCTTGTCGTCGCATCCTCTGCGAATTCGCAGCGCAACTCGCGTCCCATGAACTTGCTAACGAACCATTTCCTCTTCTTCTCAGGCTTCGCGTCTTCGTCGTCATCGTCGCTATCGTCCTTTTTGCCCTTCTTTTTGAATTCAGCCGCGTCTTTGAAGACGAAGCCCTTGACGGCCCATGTGGCGGATTCCACGTCGGCGAAGGTGATCCAGGCGTAGCCCTTGCATTTGCCTGAGTCTTCAAAGGTGGCCATGTGGATGTCTTCGATGTCGCCGCATTGCGCGTAGTGTTCTTGCAGGTCTTCCTTGGTGACGTCGAAGGAGAGGTTGCCGATGAAGACGCGCTTGTTGGGTGGGTGCCCGGATTTGTCTGTGTTGCCTGCGCGGCGGCTGTCCTGGCCTTCTTCTGTCTTGGGTTTGTCTGGTCGTCCCTCGAAGCTCTTTGCGTTCTTGATGAGTAGGGCGCGGCCGTCCATTTTGGTTTCTGTCAGGGCAATGGCTGAGTACATTGCTAGTTCTGTGGAGAAGTCGACATATGCGAAGCCCTTGTTCAGAGGCTTGGTTGTCCAGCTCGGGTTAACCTTTGTGGGTGGGGGCATGTGGACGCGGGTTATCTGGTCGCTTGCGATTTCTGAATTCTCGGACAGGAATGTTCGCAATGAGTCTTTGGTCGCAGACCATGGCAGGTTACCGATCCATACACCGTAAGCTGATCGCTTGCCGTCTGCATCCTTGCTCCCCTTTGCTTCGCCATCTGTCTTTGCGCCTGTGTCTCCTCCTTCTCCCTCGGCGGCGGGTGTAGGGTTCAGCTTCGCTTTCTTCGCTTTGCGGGCGGCTTTCTTGGAGACCGGCTCCGGGAGGTTGACATCGATTTCGAGCTCGTCAGGTAGGATATCTCTTTTGCGCTTCTTCGCTGGCGTCTCTGCTTTTACTGACGCTTCCTCTTCACTGGCGCTAGCTTCTGCGACCTCATTCTTAGACTCGGACTTGGAGCGCTTCTTCTCCTTCTTTTCCTTTTTGTCTTTTTTCTCCCGGCGCTCCTTCTTAGAAACGGCGACGGCCTCGTCGGAAGAGGTCATGTCGATATCCTTGGACATTGTATTGTGCTTGATGGCTGGCCTAGCTGCATTGACTTTGAACTTTTTTCTGGGTCCTGCATTTTCGCTTCCTTGCAGCCAGCGCTAGGAGAAGACGGGCTTAGTCATGTTCTGTTCACGCTAAACACCAACACCGGGTCTCTATCACTATCACTATCACTATCGATAACAACTTTCCTTGGCTTGGTTCTTACGACTCGTGCGTATCGTTTTCTTCTGACAAACCTTGCACTTGTGCGGTCTTGAGTGGCTCTCACCCAACGCCAACAAGTTCTGTTGTGGCGCCAATCACAGCGAAGCCGTTGCGCTACGTGGCGATGCAGGCTGTGTTGTACTCTACGTAGGGGCAGTTTGAAACGCCGCACTGGAGAAGGGCCCCGTACACGTACAACAGCGTTGGCATTCTCACCAGATATGGGCCGGAACTACTAACCGGCGAAGTGAGGCGAAGATATCGACGGCTGTCTTTCCGGTCTTGACCATGTTAGTGAAACGCTATCTCAGATGATCAGCTGGTACACTGGGCGACCATCACGTGCCGTCAAATTGGGTGGCGTCATCAGGGCGAGCAGGAGGGTCTTTGGTCAATTCAATGGGTGAGGAGACAGCGAGGCAGGTTGAAGGCAATCATCTTCTGGCGACGAGGGTCTCACCGGCTGACGACGTATCCTGCAGCCTGGCCTGGGGCGGTCCACAACCACTGCATCGACGCGACCAGTCCAGGTACAGCATACTGCCCGCTGGAGTCGGGGCACTACTCTTCGCCAGAGACATGCACGACATCAACGCCGCTTCAGCTGTGCGAGCGAGACGAGCTTCTTGCCGGCGAACCTTTTACTTAGCAAAATAGGCAAAAAAGAAACGTCGCCCACCCCCAGGACGGTGCCAGCCTCCAGTTGGAAAGGGAAGCTTTGGCAGTCCGGTGGCCGGGTCGTGCTCACTTAGCGTGCCCTGGTGCTAAGCACTGACCCCACTCAAGGCAGCTACCATTACACGTCCAGCTGCTCCGCTGCCGTCTCACTTGCTCCACCTCCACCTCCGCCTTTACATCTCCATCACCCTCCCTCAACAGCAACTCTCTCTACACCTGTTGCTGCACTACCCTCTCCGCTCGCAAACAGCGGTGCCTGGCAGACTGCGTTTGCTCTGTCCGCTCCTTTGTGCACTCGCCTTCACCGCCAGCCTTGCTTGCCCATCATGGCGGCGACTAACCCCGTCCCCGTGACGCTCGACACGCCCATCGTTGTCAAGGTCCTTTTTCGCGGCCAGACGAAGAAATTCAAGCTGCCTCTAAAGGACCTTGGAGCTCATGTGCTTCCTGACAAGGTCCGTATAGTCCCGTGCAGCTTCATGTCCGGCACACGCGGACGGTAACATGGCTCTGGAATGTGGCGGATCACTTGAACATGCGAATACTGACTATGTGCTCGCTCCCAGCTCCGAGCTATCCTCGCACTCCACCAAGACAAGGATGTTCTCTTTGAGCGCTACTCCGACTCGGCTGCTGCGTACGTCACCTTGGACGCCGACAAGCCCCAGGTCTACAAGACGCTCTTCCGCGCTGCAAAGGCCAAACTCAAGCTTCGTCTGAGGGTCTCCGTTCCTGGCGAGGAGCCTGTGCCTGCGCCCACACCTGCGCCTGCAGCACCTCAAGAGACACCTGCCGAAGTTCATGAAACAAGCTCGGACGATCTTACCCAGGAGAATGTTGTCACCCCGCCCGTTATCGCTCGTTCACCCGACTCCAAGTCGATTCGCTCAATCAGCTCTGTTTTGTTACCAAAGGCCAATGAGAAAGAGCAAGAGGCTCCAGTGCCTCAGACTTTCACGGCTCGGCAGGGTAGGCATCAACCACAAGATTGATCATGAAGTATGTGACTAACATGGAATCCAGACTTCTTCGGCAACCTCACAGCTGCTGGCAGCAATTCGAGTCTCGCCTTCCGCCCCAAGCCGACGAACGTGTGTACGTCGTGGGTCGTGTACTGCAACAACTGCAACGACCCCATGGAAGATGAGCACTACCACTGCAGTGTATGCGACGGAGGCGACTATGACCTTTGCCCGGCGTGTGTCAACAATGGCATCCACTGCCCTGGAAACAGCCACTGGATGGTCAAGCGCTTCGTCAAGAACGGCGTCGTTGTGAACAGCACAACCCAGCGCATTGCACCAAAGGCCAAGGCCGAGATCGAAGCCGAGCCCGAGGCCGAGCCCGAAAAGCCTCAAGAACAAGAGGTTCCAGGCGCCTTCACTGAGGAAAAGCAACCTGTTGTGCATGACGAGGAGCCAACCCGCACCTGCAACTGCTGTGTCAAGAGTTTGCCAGAGAGGGAATTCGTCACATGTGTCGCTTGCGATGACTACGACCTTTGCCTGCAGTGTCACATCAGCAATAAGCACGGCCATCACCCCGGTCACGTTTTCAAGGCTGCCACAAGCGAGACTGTCCTACCCACTCTTGCCGATTTCCTGTGCAACTCTGGAAGGAATGTCCGCCACTCGGCCGTCTGCGATGGCTGCGACAAGTTCATTTATGGCGTTCGCCACAAGTGTCTGAACTGTCCCGATTGGGACTACTGCACCGATTGTGTTAAGAACGCCAGGTTCATTCACCCCCGCCACCGCTTCGTTCCCATTTACGAGCCTTTGGCTGAGCCAATGAGCAGCCCCAACCGCCACTACGGCATCTACTGTGATGGGCCTCTCTGCAAAGACAAGGAAAACCTATCCTACATTGAAGGCATCCGCTACAAGTGTGCCGTCTGCCACGACACAGACTTTTGCCAGAACTGCGAGGCCCATCCTAGCAACAAGCACAACCACACCCATCCTCTCATCAAGTTCCAGACACCTGTGCGCAGCGTTAGCGTAACAACTGTCAATGATGACAAGGAGGGCAAGTTGCTCTCTCGCCTTGGTGATCGTCTGGCTGGCAGGCGTTCTACCGCCACTGAGACTACTTCCGTAGCTCCTTCTGTCGCTCCTTCCGTGGCTCCTTCTACCAATGCCGCGACACAAGTCCAGACCATTCTTGATGTGAAGCCAGAAGAGTCTCAGACTAAGAAGGAGAAGATTACCATCAGTGATCTTCTCGTCGACTCCATCGAGCCAGTTCAGGAGAAGGTCGTTGTACCTGCCGAGGAGAAGCCCGTCAAGTCGGAGGCCATTCCGATCCCTCGATCTGAGACTGCTGCGGATGGACTTGATGCCCACTTTATCCGGGATACCATTCTTGATGGTTCCAGGATCGCTACCGGCGCCACATTTGTTCAGACCTGGACTCTTCGCAACCCAGGACCAAATGCCTGGCCTGCTGGATGCAGCGTTCGCCACGTTGGCGGCGACAACATGCTCAACATTGACAACAGCCGTCCATTGAGCCACACGGACCTTGCCGAGGCCAGCGAGAGCAACGTCTTGGATGATGCCGTTCAACCCGGTGAGGAGGCTCAGTTCCGTGTAGTCATGAAGGCACCCCAGCGTGAGGGCACCGCAATCTCATACTGGCGCTTGAAGACTCCCTCGGGCATGCCCTTTGGTCACCGCCTGTGGTGTGATATTGCCGTCATTGCTACACCAGCACCCGCAGAGCCACAACAGGCTGTTTCCAGGCCTGGTACCGCAACCACTTACGAGGTTGCTCCCAGGTCTAACCCAATGTACGAGCGCCTTATTCAGGCAAGAGCTGAGAGGGAGAGGGTAAAGTACATGCGCCAGACTCACTTGCAGCAACTTGAGCAGAACCACCAGCAAAAGATGGAGCAAGTGCAGCGTGTTCGCAAGGCTGCTGTCGAGCGTCTTCTCGAGCTCCGTCGCAAGGAGCATGAGGCTGCCCTCGCTACCATCAAGCAGGAGCCCGTCTCACCAAAGGTCGAGGCTGCCCCTGAAGAGCTAGCTGTAGAGGCAGTTGAGAAGGCAGTTGAAGAGCCAGTCGTCGAGCCAGTCGTCGAGCCAGTCGTCGAACTCCCCACCTCAGAGAAGTCTTCGGAGCCTGAAGCCGGACCTTCATCGTCTGGCATGGTTTTCCCCCAGCTCGACAAGGAGTCACCTGCATCAAGTACCTATCAGCCATCTCCTGCTGCTCAGCCCATGTCTCCTCTTTCCACAAAGAGCACTGTGGCTCGCACTATTACTGTAGCTTCGGATGATGAGTTCTTCGAGGATGCCGAAAGCGTTGCACTCCACTCCGACGACGGCTTCTTGACCGACGAGGAGTATGATATCCTCGACGCTAGCGATCAGGAGATGCCATAAGTAGATCTCGAAGAGGTCACAGGCTGGGCATATTGACAAATGCAAGAGCCCGCAAAATGCTTTAGGCCGGTGTTTTATGGATTTGGGTTCCGGGTGTTCGGTTTATGGGTGGCGTACAATGTGGTATTTCAACACACTCTCTAAGCAGAAGGCGCTGTTGTGCCACACACGTAACACATTGCGCTGTGTGGGTGGCACCAGGTCTGCTGCCGTTTTCCTATCACTTGCGAGAATTTGAACCTTTCCTTACCTCTTTCTTGTGTCATGTAAGTGTAGTGAGTAATTCTATTCTCTTAACAGAACGTTTGCATCCAACTGTGAAAACTAGTGAGACTAGGTTGGCTGGATCAGCCTTGGTGATTGATTTACAAGCAAGAATAACTATGTCCCTACGGATGATGTATGTTCGGTGGGTTATACGGTATGTGTTTGACGTGATACATCATCACAACATCTGCTCCAAGGAGACCGGCACGGGTTTGAGAACTGGGTAAGTTCTTTACAATCTAACGTTTACCTGATGTGTGAAGAACGTACAGCTTACCCAAGTCATGATGTAAATCTCTGTTATGTACCAAAGCATACTGGCATGCCGACTTCATATATATCATGACTCTGCCAAACTTACTATGCTCCTCCCTGCTCCATTTCCCCCAAAAGCTACACCAAAATATCCCAGAAAAAAAAGGACATCGCCTAACCTAAAGTTGCCTGCCATCATCCACCCACAGTATGCCGGGAATTACGAGTCAATCGCCTAAGAGCCGCACGGCTGGGGCCCCGCCCGCGGCTTGCGCCCCGAATGCGAAGGATGGAATAGCCCCACTTGGATTACTCGTACTATTCCTGCATTTTTCGTTGTGTGGGGTTAATATTGCATTGCGTTGTCGCGCATGTGGGTTTAGTTCTGCAGGAGAGAGTATGCGTGTGTTAAGGGGAATGATTGGAGAGTGTCTTGGAATCAGATGTATGGCATGACTGAGTTACCCTGAGTCTGGGATGCTTTGTTTATTGTACTGCTATGGCAAGCCTTTTGGTATAGCAAATGGAGTGTACTGTTGCGAGGAGCCATGATGAAAACTTTGCAGAAGGGGTTTTTTTTGAAAACACTTTTGTGAGTTTTCGGTACATATATAAGTCTGTGATTGCTTTGCGAGACTTGGGAGCTTAACAATTCTATAAAAAAAAAGCTATGATTGAATGCATCTCATTAGGACTATGTTGATTGAGTGGTTGAACGCCTTGATCTTCATAACCATTCAATGGCTGTTGAATCGGCTACATATCTGGTTGCGAGCTGTGTATTTTTCCCTTGTCGCGCAGATCGATAGGTTTTACGCCTAGAACGGCTAACTAAGGACAAACATGAGAAATTAGAATGCAAGTTCTGAACTCATGTAATAAATGACGGACGGGAGGTTGTCCATAAATTCTACTTGGCAAAGTGTCTACTACTCTGGCTCATCTAGCTGCTCACAGCTGGGACTGCTGGTTGCCGCGTTGCCCGCTGCTCCTGTTGCCACTGATCGCAATACACAATTAAAACTGCAATTCCAGGGTCTCTAACGATATTATATGTTCTACTACAATGTTGAAGTATAGAATCTTGCCAATGCCGCCTATACATGATTTTCCCAGTAGGCCCTTAACGAAAGTAGGCCATACAGTAAGAATAGTGAGAATGAAATATCAGAGCCAGCGAGAACTCTAGAAGTACAGTTGATCTGGAGATTTACTACAAAAGAGGAGATTTTACGAACTGTATACAGAGTAGCAGTAGCACGTCTGTATTAACTGAAGTCTGCGATCCATCACCTTCTTGGGCGAGCGCACGACGATCTCACACCAACGAACATTATGATTGATGAACGCCATGATCCCGTCATGATGTATTACTATTCATGCTAGCCATTTAGGAAGGTACTCATCACAGCGGGCACGCCAGCATGGATTGATGAAGACTTCACCGTTTCTGTGCAAAAACACAACCATATTGCATCGAGAAAGACCCAACTATAGATGGAAAAGCAAGCAAGGGATGCACAGCATACAAGGATAAGGTAGGGAGTACAAATACACATCTCATCTGTCCATTTCCAGGTGAGCCTCATTCAGCCATCTTGCGCATCGTTTCCTTAGGACGAAGCACTGGTTACTCCGCCACAGGTAGAGGTATACCATGTGAATTACTGCTTGCATTCTGGGAATATAAAATCACCATCGGTGAGGCCCATCGGTCAACATGATTTCAACATGGGACAATGGGTTTAGCGCGCTTGCTAAAGCGGATAGGGATATGAGTCCAACTTGCGCGGGTTTGTCATAGCACTCACTCCCAATAATACTTTTTAACTATTTCGTTTGGCAAACGTGCTACACCAACTGCCGCCTAACCTCATAAGCATGAATCCTAAACACGGAGCCTACAGCCGTGAGGGTAGCCGTGAAGCCCAGATCGCACTTTCTGCTCTTGCGCGCACCCTACACATGAGCCCGCTAGTACTCAAGATTGCTCTTTCTAATGCTTTCGATCTGCTGGAAACCACTGGCGGCAATCCAACGCTCGCGCTGCACCTAAGCTTCAATCGACTGAACTACTACATCGACAGCATCACTCTGGATAGGGTCATCGCCGCTTTCCGTGATGCTTTTGCATTCATTCTCAGTGACAAGAAGGGTGAGTGCAACACGAGGCGGTGAAACTTCACACTGATGGAACTTTTCAGATCACACAGCGAGCGCGTAGACGGCTTCGATGCCATACGACGGTCATATTCATACTCCTACAGCACCACGGTACCGATACATCGCACCAAAGGTTGGCTATAATATTCAAGAGGGGTCTATCGGCCATGGTGCAGGTTTCAACATGCCCACTATGTCTTCAACTGGGGGCGTGAACTTACCACCATCGGTCGGAGAGTACGAAGCAACTCCGAGCCAGATTGTACAGGGAGGTCATCCTATGGATTTCATCAATAAGCAGTTGAAATAAATTACTCTATCTACGAGGCCCGACAAGTCTGTTTCAGATAGGTTATCTTTCGTGGATTCCTCAGAATAAAGGTCTAAGTCTCAGACTACATGCGATGTATTACTGCAGTCACTGCAGTTGAAAGAGCTGGTATGATGTAACGGAGATTATGTCGATGTGGAAGGGTAAAGGAGATTAGCAAAACTGCATCAACGATATTGATTTGGCATCTTGATGAAATTGTGAACTACTCCAGCGCGGTGTTCGACTGTTGGTCATCATTTTCTACTTTTCTCCTGCCTCTACTATTAGTAACAATAGTACGAATACATGAGCGACTCGCCCTTTCTGCTGAAACCTTAGAACAATTTCAAAAAACGGCCAAAAACAGTGAAAGCAGTCTTGGACTGCAGCTGACTTGTCATTTAACGAAGTGAGAAGGTTTTTGGGTAGTGAATTAGGTATTTTCCTTGGTCTGCCTTGATTGGCATTCACTCCACGTCGTTGTTGCCTTGATAAAAACGTCATATCCATCTTCTAGAGCGCCGTGCGAATGATGACCCTTGAGTATATATATGGCCCACTGCCAATCACATTTCTCCCTTCAACAATCTCGACAACCAATACAACTAGGTAACTCGACAACCAATACAAACGCGTAACCATGACCGATCGAACCAACGGTCAAAACAGCAAAGACAATATACCACAATGGGCTGGATACAGCTACTTTATGGAGTTGGAGGAGTCGTTGTTTCCCGACAACGAGGGAGACTTCGCCTCCTCCTTCTTGAATCCTAGGAGGCCGAGAAACCAATCGGCTCGGCGTAAGTGCCAAAGATCTAAAAATTGCGATCTTACAGCAACTTATGTTCTTCTTTATAGCTGCTACATTCGATCCGGGAAATTCGGACGAAGCCTGGCGTTACGTCGGCAACAGGGTGTGGACTGGAGAAGGATTCGTGTATGCTCCTCCTCCACCACCAGAAGAGCCAATGGATTTTGAATCATCGCAAAATTCATTCCTCCCACAAACTGGCACATCAAAAGTGCCAGGAATTATAGAGATTCTAGCAGGATCCCCACAGGCCGAGGACTTGTCGTACTTTGGGAATCCCCAAGGTTCCGGTTCTAGTAAGAACACTACTCGATCGTTGCTCGTACCTTTGCTAACCCATCATTTCCCCAGTTTCTGGACTTCAAAGTTCCCGTGGCACGACAACTCAACCGTCCACGAGCAAGCTTCGACAGCAAGACAAAGACAAGTTCCAATTTGTCGGGTGGAACAATGAAGCGAAGCGGACACTATACCGCTGGAAACGGATATTGAAGAAAGGTCCTTCCTTTTTCCTGCACCAATTCCCGGGAGAGACCGAAGCATCGGTGCGAGATGCTTGGGACAAGTACGGTGAGGAGGGAAAGCGGCTGTACGAAGAGTGGGAGGCCGCGGAAGAGGAGTAAGGCGCGATAGCCCACCGCGATACTCGCTTCTAAATTCTGCCCTTCTCGTTCAACACACTACTCGTCTTCTTATCAAGTTAATCGATTTATCTTACCAGAACACCACCAACATGGTAGGCATTAGCCAGCGATACGGCGGCGTGCGCGCCCCACGCTTCGACATCAACATAGGCGCGAGAGTCTACGCTCATCGATGATAGAAGCAGTGCAAGACGATTCGAGAAGAGGGATATCCCAAGCGACAAGGGGAGAACGAACCGACCCTCATCTCCAGTGATGAGGACGAGGATGTACAGTATGTACAAACCGTACGAAAACGCACCCCTTCCTAGATGGAGAAATGTTGATGGCAGTTCATATAGATGGTTTGCCTGCTGTAGAGTGGATATAGAATAGTAGAGGAAAGAAAAATCAAAAACCCGTGAGATCCCCTCATGGAAAAGTTTAACCAGCGCTTTGAAGCTGACTGTAATATATGGATCTTCTTCCTCTGTATTTCTTTCTTCGTAGATGAATACAATGATATAGCGACTTGAGGTATTCGCGAAGATGAAAGAAATTTTATGAAAGCGGTGATTGATGTGACGAAATTCTGAGAGTGGATATAATCATAATGCTTGGAATGGCGGTAAGATAGCTATGCAGCAGTGATCTTGCATTGAACAGGTAAGACTTTACAAGATTGATTCGTGTGATGCAGTGTCAATGATAGCTCTCAATTTTTGTTGACAGCAGCTGAAGCTCTGCTGGTACCTGAGTATATACATGCCGCAGATATTATAACTATGAAATACCACAGCGTGCTTATATCGAAGCGTCTCAATCTTGTGACCTTTTGGTTGCGGATTTGTGGCTACGGTCACTTGGTGGTTGCGATTGCGATAACGTACTTGCAGCAGGTTGTGTTGGTGTTGTTCCTCGTCATGTGATCTGCTCACATGGAAATCCAGCCAATCACCGCCGGCGTGTTAGGCTCGGATGCGACGACCAACGCCCGCCGAACTGTGTCGGATCTGACAGCGGTCTTTGTAACTTGTGTCGCACACGTGCGACAGTGATTTGAGTGGTATCCGGAGTCACTTACAGTATGATCCCGCATGGCGATGGATCTACTTGGTGTCAGGTGTCACGTAGTTTCTGCCCTTCCAACGGTAGTATCAGACGCGAGCGACACCAAGCAGATCGCTCTCAGCCGCATTAATCTCCATCACATCTACCTCCATAGAATCACGGACCATCAATCTATCGAAGAAACATTACTACTCTTCGCCTATAGCTGTAGAAGGTTTGGATATGCTAAACAGATAAAGAGATGTGTCATGCGTTGTTTGATTCGAAACTCGCTCGCACGCTAAATCTGGATGTACTTCCCTATACGCGACCATCGTCTTCTAAATTATTCTTGGCGTACATGGCCTCGCACCCAGAATGGGCACATGAAAAGCTTGACGAAGATGCTTGGTCTTCGGAAGTCTTGGAATAAGCACCCGTAGAAGGTTCAGGAGTCCATATCACAAATAGCTATGAAGCTAAACCGAGCTGCGACGATCGTGCAACGTGGAGAGCGCGCTATCGCCCTATCACACACCAGGCCTTTGTGTGCATTGGCGTTTGACACACGGTTTCTACCATGCGTAGTTTGCCAAGCATTCAAGCCAATGTTCTAGATGCGTTGCATCCTGCGTTTGTCAGTAACGCCCAGGACGATGCCGAGGACGGATGGCGGACGTAAGCATTCTGTTGCTAAGACTCAACGTCTGTCAGTGATAGCACTCTGATATAAAAACCCATCTGGAGTTCCCTCATAGCTTGCTTGTGCTTCTACACTCACTTACATTCGGTTACACTCGCTGCCGGACAGTCTCATTTCAAAATCCATTCACTTCGAACAATACCATTTCAATCAACATGAGGGTCTCTCTGGATTTGACATTCGGACTCGTGCTTTTCTCAACCGTCAATGCTTATGTCATTCCTTCTCGCAACGTTGGAGCGGACTACGTGCTTCCTTCCCGGAGAATCGGAGCGGTACGTAAAATATAGCAGAGTGACTGCTACTACAGGCCACTTTAATCACTCTATCTTGAATACTTACACCTATACCAGGTAAAAGGCATTTCCTTGTCACCCCACGCCAATTCTATCCAGCGTGATGCAGAAGTCGGCCATGGAGTTCACCGCCGCAATCCTCAAGGCCTGATGATCGGAGGTCTTACTCTCGGTGGACCAGATGGCGGCATTACCGGAGATGGCCTTAACCTCGGTGGCAACGGCAACAAGGGAAACGGCACTGCGATGGCTGCGGGAGTGAAGGGTAAGAAGCCTAAGAAAGAGAAGGGAATGAAGGGAGAGAAACCTGCTCCTGCTGAAGGAGGAGAGAAGCCAGCAGGATGCGCCGCTCCGCCTCCTGCTGGAGAGGGGGAGAAGCCCAAGGGAGAGAAACCGGCTCCTGCTGAAGGAGGAGAGAAGCCAGCACCCCCTGCAGGAGGAGAAGCACCCGCTGGTGGAGAAAAGCCCGCACCCCCTGCTGGAGGAGAAGCACCTGCTGAGGGAGACAAGCCTGCTGGAGGAGAGGCACCTGCTGGGGGAGAGAAGCCAGCACCCCCTGCCGGAGGAGAAGCACCCGCTGGAGGTGAGGCACCCGCTGGAGAAGAGAAGCCAGCACCCCCTGCAGGAAGAGAAACACCCGCTGGTGGAGAAAAGCCTGCACCCCCTGCTGGAGGAGAGTCACCTGCTGGCGGTGAGGCACCTGCTGAAGGAGGAAAGCCTGCTGGTGGTGAGGCACCTGCTGGAGGAGAGGCACCCGCTGGCGGAGAAGCACCTGCTGGCGGAGAAGCACCTGCTGGAGGAGAAGCACCTGCTGAGGGAGGAAAGCCTGCTGGTGGTGAGGCACCTGCTGGAGGAGAAGCACCTGCTGGAGGAGAAGCACCTGCTGAGGGAGGAAAGCCTGCTGGTGGTGAGGCACCTGCTGGCGGAGAGGCACCTGCTGGTGAAGGAGCACCTGACGGTGCTAAGGCGGAGTCTGTGGGCGGAAACAAAGCTACTGAAGAGTCCGAGAAGTTCTCTGAAGAGTCTGGTATCAGCCTTGGCAAGTCTGGCGAAGCTGCCAACCTCGGCGGAAACCTAGGAATCACAAAGGGCTCTGATGGTAGCAGCTCTGTTGGAGGCAAGAACGGTATTAACGTTGCCGCTAGCGGATACTAAGCAACCGTTACAGACAACAACTAGGTGTGGATCATAGAGATGTCTCTGTCCAGCCTCCTGGCTGATACATCTCGCACTTCTCCTCCACATATTCAAGCAGCTAGAACGTCTCTTTCATGGTGTCGATGCTGGTCATGTTTCGCTTTGTTCAATATTGCTGCCTTCTCTCACCTGGTCTATGGTAGTGCGGTGAGATAGTTTATAGTTCATCACTTGTACATACAAAAGAATGTTATTCGACGCATCTTCAAACTTTCTTCATGGTTTATTCTCAGGTGATGCCTCGGCTCATTTCACACCTAGCCCAAATGGTATCCAAGACTGATTTTGTACGTGTGAATGGTGAAAGGGGATGCACTGTGTCGGCACGGGCCATGAGTCACTTATAAGGTAGCAGCGACCTGAGTCTGTTCCTGACGTCTACACCCCACAAACACCCTGATTTCTACCATCACCTCCGGCACCATGACTTCCACAGGTGCCAGCGACGGCAAGAATGATACCGAGAACCATCCCGAGCCGTCTAATGAAGCTATCAAACAACCTACTCTGACCGAAAAGAAACAATCATTATCCTGGATTGGAATGAATGAGTTACAGCTTGAGATTCAGCGCTTGAAAAGCGACATTGATACGCGCAACGCTTACACTCGGAGTCTCGAGCGGGATAATGCAAAGGCTGCTTCCGTAGTGTTAGAGAACGAAGTACTTCGCAAAAAAGTGGATGAGCTCATCAAGAACTTAGAGAGCAAAGACACCGAACTATATATGCTCAGAAGTGCTCTCGCTAGCTCAGCCAAAACAGCTGAAGAGGCAGCCCACATGCGCGTCCAGATGGAGGCTTTCCCAATAATTTCTCTCGGTCTTGCGTTTTCGATGATTAATCTGTTGTTGGAGTCTTCAAAGCACGAAGCCCAGGCCGATGACATTACTCGCACCCAAGCTTCAGTGAATGGCCTGCAGATAAAGCTCACTGCCGAGGAGAACATCAACAAGCAACTCACTACAGAACTCGCTGAGAGTGAGGAGAAAATCAAAAACATCACTGGTGTAGCTGAGACCCTAAGATCCCAGAACAAGAGTATTGAGAGCAAAGTCAAAGGCCTACAGAACAAGGTGGAGGGCTTGGAGAAAGTTCGAGATTGGTAAGTTTGCAGCGCAATCATCTTATTGTACTGCAGCAATCTCCGCATTACTACTATCAACCACCTAACCAGATGACCATAATCCTTGCGGTAGCCGTCATTAATTAGAATCTTCATATGCATAGATCTTTGTAATCGCTTTATTAACATATATGCAGGCACTACAAAGACTATACCCAGGCATTGCAACTCTGCAACACCCTCAAACAGGAATCCGCTATGCTAAAAGAAGAGAAACGAGCTCTCGCCGAGAAATTCGCCAGCCAACTACGCGACCTAGGCGGTTTCGTCACAGACCTAGACCTCGTCGCAGAGGAAATCCGCATCTACGTCTGCCCGCACAACAATCTCAGAGGCATACACTACGCAACGGCGAAAGAAACACAGATTAAGAAAGTGTGGAGGGTAGCTGGCGAAATGTGGAAGCGATGGGAGAATGAAGCCAAATTCCTGAAAGCCTATGAGACAGCGAGGCAAAACATCTTGGATCATACTCGTGCACATGAGGTTGCGCTTCACCGAAATGGAGATTGGTGGCGAGAAATCAAGGCGGCGTTTGATGAGCTGGATAGGAAGAGGCATTTTTGTACTACGTACACTTGAGTCGGGAGAGGGACTCATGACAAGCCGGAGATATGCTGACTGCAGCATGAGTGAAGGGCACACTTGTAATATGGTCTGTAATACCCAAACCGATGTTCATACATGAGAGACGTAACGCAAGTAAGCATACGTACTTAAACTAATTCAATCCATAAAACCCTATACCTCACCCATCTTCCCCCAAATATCCTCCCCATCTACTCCCCAAAATGACTTTCAACATGTCTGGCAACAGCCACCTCATCCCCCTCAAAAACCCCACAAACCGGACAAACCGCCGTCTCCACTCCCCCGCCATGCCCTCCCTTCCCCTGCTCATACCGTCTATCCGCCTCTTCCAACGCCGCGAAAATGCCCCCATCAACCTCCCCCCGCCTCGTCTCATCGAAAAAATACTCATCATTCTCCCGAACATCCCTCTCCATTCTCCCCCTCCCGCCACCTCTTACCTCCCCATCCCGCCCTAACCCTGCGTCAGCCCCGCCAGCCAGCGCCTCACCGCTCTCCCCCTCAGTCTCACTAACAAGACTCTGCACGCGGCCCACGCGACCATCTCGCAGGCGCACCTTGACACCCCGCGGATGGTCGCCGCGGGTTAGGATGTCAGCGACGATACCGGAGACGCGGCGGCCGGTCGGTTGGTCTTGTTTGAGGATTAGGGAGACGGGGGTGCCGGGGTGGATAGAGGCGTAGGGGGGGACGGGGCTGTATGCTGGGGATGGGCGGGCACCACGGTGGGAGCCACGGGAGCCTCTGGAGTTGTCGGATGGACCTCTTCCTCTTCCTCGGCCTCGACCTCTGCTGCCGCGCTCGGATGAGTCGCCTCGGGGTTGGCGGCTGGGGTGTCCTCTTCGTCCTGTTTGCATTGCTCTTTGGATCTTTGTCTTGTGGGTGGTGTGGGGTTTGCCTTGTTTATCGTTCGAGAAAATTATAGATGAATCAAAATGACGGTCTGGAACTAGAGTGTTGTATTTCCTCTTTTTTCTTCTTCCCTTCTCTTCTTCCCTAAAGAACTTGTATAGTCGATTATTAGAGTGTGCTCAATTTCATATCTTTCTGTCGCTCTTTATGCACGGAAAAGTTGAATAGACACTTGTAGCAGTAATGTAAGTGCTATAATAAACGGGTATAGAAAATTGCGTAATATGCTCCCAAAAGTAACCGGCAGATAGAAATGCTTGTTTAAAGAGCCTCACTGGCAAGATGTCGAGGATAAACGAATTCGCTCTGAACATTTCAAGACTAGCGCTGATTACGTCATTTAGTGAGTTCTCCTTTGTAGGAAATGATGCCTCTCAAAACATATCAACACGTACTCTATCTGCACTTGGTCTCTTCAAGTTTCTTCTCACGGTGGCAATTTGATCATCTCCAGCATCACAATAGCAATAGGGTTCAAAAATAAACTAATCTTCAGCTGAATTTTTCGCTATGTAGGACTTCATCCTGGGATCTGTCAAAGAACCCTCCAAAAATATGTGAGAAAACCATCTAGTCGCAAACGAAAGACGCCAGGCAATGCAACGAACGCAACAGCCCCAAATACAGGAGAAGCGACACCAAGCGACCGTTGTACGAACCTAACACTCGCGCGACTCCTGTACCCAACGCCATGTATGAGAGATCTGCCAGAAATGTGTTTTGCCAAGGGGGTATACACATGAATCAAAGGTCGTCTTGGTGCGCCCCAAAACACGTTTTGGGTATCCACAAACAACGAGTATTTCTCGGTCTTTAGAAAGGGAAACCACCGGGTGGTCCCCTGCTTCGGCCACCACCAGGCATGCCGCCCATGCCACCAAAAGGACTGCCACCGCCGGAGTTAAAGTGGAAGCCGCCTCCACCGCCTCGGCCACCTCCCATGCCTCCTCCCATGCCGCCAAACATTTGCATGACTGTGACTTATGTTAGATCCGTGCCATTTAGTGAATGTCATGGCGTTACTTACGAATTTCTGGATCGATACCACCACCCATGCCTCCTCCCATGCCGCCGCCACCAAACATGTCGGAGGGGTCGACAAGGTCGGCGCCGGAATCGTATCTCTCACGCTTCTGCGGGTCGCTCAGGGTCTCGTGTGCTTCTTGGATCTCCTTGAACCTGTCTGCAGCATCGGCATCATCGGGGTTCTTGTCGGGGTGGTGGATGATGGCCAACTTTCGGTAGGCCTTCTTGACTTCAGTCTCGGTTGCGTCTTTTTGGATACCGAGAATCTTGTAGTAGTCTTTCCTCTTGCTCTTCTTGAGTTCCATCTCTGCATCGCGGATCTCCTTAGCAATACCCGGCTCCGACGGGTTTTCTTCGGCGATAGCCTTGAGATCGCGCAACGCCTCCTCCCAGTTTCCACTCTCACCCAAAGCCTTCGCCTTGGTCTTCCGTGCCTTTGTGTAGCCTGGATCCAGTTCAAGTGCTTTCTCACAGTCGGCAATTGCCTGTCTCCAGCTCTTTTGCCGAGTGTGGCAGAGGGCTCGGTTCTGCAGAATTTTCGAGTTTGTGTTCTTGTTTGCAGGGTCAACTTGGAGCGCTTGTGAATAAATATCAATGGCCTCCTGATATCTGCCAGACTTGAATGCGGCGTTGCCCTCTGACTTCATGCGATCCAGCTTTTGCACCATCCGCAGGTACTTGACTGCAGCCTTGAAGTCGGGATCGCAGTTCAGTGCCTGTCGGAAATGCTGCAATGCCTTTTCATTCTCGCCCTGCGCGTAGAGGATACGGCCACGAAGCACCAGGGCATCTGGGTCTTGATTGTTGTATCGTAGCAAAGACATGACAACATTCTGTGCCTCTCCCAGCGCATTAGGGTTGTTCATCCGCAAGTGTGCTTCTCCCCGCATCAGCTGCCACTTTCTTGGTTTGTCCACACCAGCACCGAGGCCCTTCTCAGCCTCGTTGAGAGCATATATAACCATAGAACCTGAGCCTTCATTCCGTGAAGTATCCTCTGCCATGCGTAGGTGCTTCTGCATGGTCAGTGCAGGCTGTTTGTCTTTGGTGGAGGCACCAATCGAATCGTACACCTGCAAAGCCTCATCTGGCCGGCCCAAGCTGGTGTATACTCGACCTAACCGCAGCAGAATCTTCATGTTGTTGGGGTCGAGCTCGTCTGCCATCTTGCAGTCCTCCATGGCCTCGTAGAAGCGGTTCGCAGAGATATAGGCGGCAGCGCGGTTGGAATAATAGGTAGCATTCTTGGGGTCGGCCTCGATGGCTGTGGACTAGTTAGTCTGAGAGTCTACTTGGTGTATTGTGGCACAAGGCTGCGGGTGCCGGCAGTGCTACGGGCAAAGCGAGTATTGCCAGTGTAACGACGCACCTTTGGAGTATTCCTCGATTGCCCTGGGATAGTCTTTAATCTTGAAGAACTTGTTGCCCGCGGCCTTGTACTCCTCGGCATCGATTGTCGGTGGCTGAGCGGGTGGTGTGGCGGCCTCAGGGGTGGCTGCATAGTTGGCGGTGGGTGGCGGCGGGCTCTTTGTATATCTGTGTGGTGGGGGAGCCGGCCCATCAGGTACGCCGTTGGTACCATTTGTCTTTGGGGTGTCTACCGCAGGGCTCTGGGGTGCGGGAGAGGATGAGTGTTCCCTGTCCAGGTCCATGGGCTGGGGCGTGGGCTGGTCCATGGCGGCGGACATTTGGACTGAGAGACGCTGACGCTCCTCAGGCGGCAGATTCAGCGGGTGCGAGTCACAGTCGTATTTGGACGAACGCTTCGACGAGTAGGAGCTGGAGCGGCGGGAGGAGCGTTCCCTATCCTTGACCTTTGAATGTGACTGTTTGTCGGGTGAAGCGGGAGGGACGTCGGAGCTGGTCTGTTGTGTGGGCCTGTATTTTTTTGACGATTTAGCAAAGAGGGAGGGAAGAACCATGGAGGCGAAGTGCGGGCGAGTAGCGGCCTGGTGAGTGACTGGGTCGCTGGAATTTCAGTCGAGCAATGTTTGGAGAATCCAGGGTCGATGAAAATTAGAGCTGGGATTTGGCTCGTCCCGTTGCTAGAACGTTCCATTATCAGCGAGGATAATCCCGCTAGCACCGCTGCCACACTATCAAGCCGCAGCGGACGTGCATGGGAAGGCTGGGGCGCGGGTCCCTCGGGCGGAGAGCCAATCCTCTGGGATATCCGTACTGTCGCGGCTTTTTTTCTTATTTTTATTTTGATATGTGCATATTCGGACAGCGAAGGACACACATGGACCTTGTTTGCTGTATTTTGATGCCGACACACAGTACGTAAGATGGAAGAACAGAGGGGGCTCGCGTGCCTCTGGTTCTGGTCCTTCAGCTACCTTTGACGCTACCTTGCACCACAAAGCCATGGCCAAACGTTGTCGCGGCGAAACGAGACCAGTCCCTGAGGCAACGCAATCTGCGATGAGCGAGGCTGGGGTGCGCACTGTCAACAGATCGCCAACACCGTGCACTTGGGGTGCGTGAGTTCGTCCACTCCCAACGCTCGCAACCCACCCCTTTGCATTGGCATGATGCGCTGGCTTTTTTGACAACCAGCCTACTCGTTTGTGTGCCAATGCAAAACGCTGCTTGTTTACATTTGCGTTGCTGGTGGCTAGATGGCAACGAGAGAGGGCTGGGCGGCGCGTCGGACAATCATCTCAAGATAAACTTTGTTCCGTGCGTTGCTGGGTCCAGATAAAGACGCGGAGTAGGCAAATATGCTGGGCGTAGATGCTCCATAGCCTCACGCGTCAGCAGACTAGGTGGTAAGGTGTGTCGGGCTTCATGGCCATTTCTATTGGCTGGTGCATTGACTGGTTCGCACGGTGGACCCCGCTCCGCCCCGAGCATACTTCACCACCGCCAACTCATAGAGAGTGTGTGTTGTTTAAACCATAGTGTACTCGGTACAAAACCCAGGCATGCCTCAGTAATAATAGTGATCACTTTCTACATACCACTAGTTGAACATCCCGTGTGCCTACACTAACGTCCGCCTCGTCTCTTTCGTCATTCTGCGCCATCATCCCACTCTCTTCCACGCACGTGCCATTAGGTACCAGCATCCCGGCGTCACCTTCCAGCATACCCAGCCAAGGCTTCTACCTACTCCACATCTCAAGAGAGCACACGCGCTTTGGCGCAATCCCGGGTGCCACCGTCTTCAGCGCCCCGAACGCCCCAAAGCCCGGATCCGCACCAGCACCGTCGCCTCGGCCCTCGCCTCTAAACCCGGTCCAGCAGCACGTATGACAGGCGGCGACCAGCGTCCAGTGGCCACTTCTGACCTTCGTCGACGTCTTTCCAGACCACGCAAACACCATCCAGCCTCAACTGGCGAATCCGATCGTCTCATCATCACCATGGGCCTTTCGTACAATATTTATCTCAACTCGTCACGCATCTACGGCTGTAAGAACTGCAAGACACACCTCTCCAACCACGATGACATCCTCAGCAGAGTCAGTGCGCCCCGATGCCTCGCACTTGTGTCGGAAAATGCTAACAGGTCGCATGCAGAACTTCCGTGGCCAGCATGGCAAGGCCTATCTGTTCGACAGCGTTGTCAATGTGACTGAGTCTGACCCCAATGAGCGCAACATGACTACCGGACGTCATATAGTCCGTGACATTCACTGCCGCCAGTGCAAGGAGACGGTCGGCTGGAAGTACGACAAGGCGTACGAGGCCAGCGAGAAGTACAAGGAAGGCAAATTTATCCTCGAGGCGGAGCTCCTATGCACCGTCACTTGAAGAGGCTACACTACACAGGGCTTGGCGTCTTGGATGGGCATTTGCGGAGTTTTGGATTGGATAAGGGCAACATGACTGGGTTTATACAGATGGTGGCTTGTTTGCATTTCGGTTTTATTTGGTAGCTCTGACTGGCCGTTGCAGGCCGGTCTTAAGTAGCATGTTAAACTCGCTAGCTTTGTTTCTTACTCCTTTATCGGCGTACTCGGGCGTGACATCGGAAAGATGTGGAGTGATGTTTGCAGGCTTGCCACAGCGAGCCGAGGCCCGCTTTGCTGCACTCTGCGTCATGACGCCATCCCGGTGCTTCTTCACAGGAGGGGCACTTTATTTCAGTCTGGTCGAGCATAGCTACAGCAGATACATGCATGGAGTTCTGCAAACTATGTGCCTTCCTTGCTGGTGGCTGCTGCCCCGCCGAGGGACGAGGAGCGAGGAACGAGGAACGAGGAACGACTGCGGGGTAGCTAGCAAACATGCTCCTACTCTCGTCACGAACGCGTCTCCCGCACATCGGCCTTGAGTCCGAGCAGACACTTCATATGTAGGGCGTGAGCTCCACTTGGTTGCATTGTCTTACTTGCGCCTATATACATATACGCAGTTTTCTTCATTCTTCCTCTTGTCTTTAACAATCATCAATTGCGCGCATTGCACTTGTACTTTTTCCAAACACAGGATGAAAGCCGTCGTTTTCAAAGGACCGGGAAAGGTGGTGATTGAAGAGAGGCCTATCCCCAAGATCCAAGATGACAAGGACATAATTGTCAAGGTGGACAAGGTACTGTTTTGTCAAAGCACAAGCGTGCATTGCTAACCCCCTTGCAGACGGCGTTATGCGGGAGGTATGCTGGTACGCCCTCACGATAGCACAGACTGTTTCTGACTAGAAAAACAGCGAACTGCATGTCTTCAGGGGTCACCAGCCATCAGGAACCGAATTTGTCATGGGCCACGAGTTCACTGGATATGTACACGAGGTAGGCGCATCGGTCAAAAACCACAAGGTTGGCGACCAGGTGGTCACGCCCTTCACAACGTCGTGTGGAGAGTGCTTCTACTGCAGCCATGGGTACTCATCGCGATGCACCAAAAGCCAACTGTTCGGGTCTGTTGGCCTCGACGGCGCTCAGGCCGAGTACGTGCGAGTCCCACTTGCTGATTCGACAGCTGTCAAAGCTCCACCAGGGATCAAGGACGAAGCCTTGGTTTTGATGGCGGACATCTTCCCTACTGGCATGTTTGCAGCAAAGAATGGATTCCAGTATTCCAGTCCGGAGGAGATCAAAGACAGTGTTGTTGTCCTCATTGGATGTGGGCCTGTTGCTCTCTGCGCGCTGTGCAACATCACCGACTACAAGCCCAAGCACATTCTCGCCGTGGACTCTGTGCCCTCTCGGCTCGAGCTTGCCAGGTCGCTCGGCGCCGAGCCGTGGAATTTCCAGACGGACCGTGAAGGACTCGACAAACGCGTCAAGGAGCTCACCGAAGGCCGCGGCGCTGACATTGTGATTGAGGTCGTCGGACTGTCACCCGCTCTGCGTATGGGCTACGAACTGATCCGGCCGTGGGGCGTCATCAGTTCCGTTGGTGTCCACAACGGCGAGATTCCATGGACTGGAAACGAAGCTTACAACAAGAATGTTAGAGTTCAAATGGGCCGTTGCCCCGTAAGAAGCGTGTTTGAGGAGGCAATGGAGAGCCTCAAGAGACATCAAGATAAGCTCGGGTGAGTGTAAACCCTTTCACTGTGGGCAGCATAGCAGGTCAGCTTACACAGACAGGTTCATGGCGGATAAGATTATGCCGCTGAGCGAGGCGGTGGAAGGCTACGACTTGTTTGACAAGATGAAGGTGCAGAAGGTTGTGTTTGAAGCCCAAAAGTAGGAGGCGTAGGATTGGATGTAGTAGTATATATGTATGTGCATGTACATAGTATGTAGACGTGCTCCGAGGAGGTCGACAGGCACAGTCACCCTCTTGAGAGGGCACAATAGAAAAGCCCGGCCAATGGGGTACTCCTGGCTTAGAAAGCGAGCGTGGCGGGCCAATGCTGTGATGCTGCATAGTGCTAGCTGCATCGCCGTGGGGACCAGGATGGCGGCGAGGCGAGGGCTCGTGCACGCGGGGTCTATTCTGTGTTTGCGGATGGGGCGGCGCGAGGATGGTCGACGAACAGGCTGGTGCATTCACGCCTGCATTCAATGCCCTCGCCTTGTGTTGCCCTCGTAGAACGCAATGCTGCCTGCTGTGCGAGGACGGCTGCTGCATCGCAAAAGAAGCGCAGCTGCTCCCTCTGCCTGCCCTCTTCTTGAATCCGGCAAGGCGTGCCCGTTCTCGCTAAGAGGAGCTCCAACCTGCCTGCCGCCCGAATATTGCGCTCTGCCTCCAGACCTGTGTCCCTCCCACTCCCTCTGCTTGCCTCGCTCCATTGTGTGTCTGTAAACCCCCCCCCGAGACTGGCACCATCACCACATCTCTCTTCTCTCTTCTCTCTTCTCCCGGCCCTCTCTCCCTCCCTCTCCCTCTCTGCCCCCCTCAACCCACCCTTGTTCCTTTTCCATCTGTCCAGTCGGCCGTTCCGCACCGACCACCTCTCTCACCCCCGCCACTTCCGTAGTCGCCTGTGAGTACATACAGCTGCTCCCATGTCCACTTCCACACACGATCCCAAACACAACCACTGACACTCGATCCCACAGCCTGACCTCCCTTATCCCCGTCCCTCTCCCCCCTTATCCCCTCTCCTCCCCTCTCACGTCCTACCCGCCGTCCTTGCGACTTACCTTCTTCGCCTGTGAGTGTTGCGACGTTGCGCCAGTCGCGAAACTGCGTCACTAAACTGCGTCACTGACAGCAGCACCAGCACTTTCTCCCGGCCATCCCGCAACATGTCCACCGAAGAGCCCCAGCCCGGTCCCGGCCAAGACGCCACCCGTGTTGCCGATCAACTCGACCGCCTCAACATGGACGGCGAGGGTGAAGTGATCCCACGCACCGAAGAGGAGTATGCCGAGGCGCAGCTCACCTTGCGAGCCATTGTTTCGTCCAAGGAAGCCGGTGTCATCATAGGCAAGGCTGGCAAGAATGTCGCCGACCTACGCGATGAGACTGGTGTCCGCGCCGGTGTCAGCAAGGTAGTCCAGGGTGTCCATGACCGCGTCCTCTCCGTTACGGGCAGTCTCTCTGGCATATCAAAGGCATATGGTTTGGCTGCCAAGGGCCTGCTCGAGGGCGCACCTGCCATGGGCATGGGCGGCGTTATTCGCACTGACGGCACTCATCGTACGTACAAATACTGTGTTCTCGCACCAAGGTAACGGTGCATGAAAATGCCAAGCTAAATTTTTCAGCTATCCGCCTCCTCATCTCGCACAACCAGATGGGCACCATTATTGGTCGTCAGGGCCTGAAAATCAAGCAGATCCAAGATGCCTCTGGTGTTCGCATGGTTGCCCAGAAAGAGATGCTCCCCCAGTCGACTGAGCGCGTTGTCGAGGTCCAAGGATCTCCTGCCGGCATCGAGAAGGCTGTGTGGGAAATCGGCAAGTGTCTCATTGACGACCACGAGCGTGGCTACGGTACGGTTCTCTACAATCCTGCTGTTAGGGTCCAGCCCGGCGTGGGTCCCGGTCCCGCGGCGAATGGTGGCAGCGCACCCGCCGGTGGTATGGGCGGACGCTCGTACAACCGCACTGGCCACGGCGCTGACTTTAGTGACTCGCCACCTGCCTTTTCTCGACGGTCCGGTTCGGATGCTGCCAGCAGGCCACCGCCCCCTACACACACAGAAGACGGTGAGGAGATGCAGACGCAGAATATTAGCATTCCGTCCGACATGGTTGGTTGCATCATTGGGCGTGGCGGCAGCAAGATTAGCGAGATTCGAAAGACTTCGAATGCTCGTATCTCGATTGCCAAGGCTCCTCACGACGACACTGGCGAGCGCATGTTCACCATCACCGGTAGTGCCAGTGCTAACGAGAAGGCCTTGTACCTCCTGTACGAGAACCTTGAGGCTGAAAAGATGCGCCGCAGCCAGGCGCAAGAGTAGATGGCTATGCTAGCACATCCCTCCACATTGGACACGATTGTGGATGGTGCTGCCTCGACGCCACCCATTGAAACTGGCGAGTTTACTGGGAGGCCATGCAGCCGCTACATGATATCGCTGGTCCTTCACGTTCGACAGCCATCTGTACTTGTCATTCCCTAATGAAGGCCCACCGACATGACATCCAAAAGCATTAGCTTGATTAGTTTCTTACTTGCTGTTAAATGATGGATACCACGGATTGTTTGGGGGCATTGTTTTAACTTTTTTTATTGTCGAGAGAGAGAGATCGATATCCAAGTGCACGCTGAGCGGTTCACGAATGTCATGACGTTATGGCCTTTGATATCCGGATCGCGCATGTGCTTATGGGTAGCAGCGCTAGTATCCATCTTGTGGTTTTTCTGGCGAAGAAGAGCTGGAGCAGATGATGAGTTTGGTCTCATCACCTCGAGCTCTATGGCGGCACTCCAATGTACTTTCCCTAATCACTCCCTTACCACCACCACCACCACCACCCCCCTGCTCCACCCCGTCACTCCTACCGATACCTACTAGATACAATCAATCAAACATATTATGTCGGCACGTGAGATGTTGTGGTGTTTCGAATAGTGATTTCTTGTAGCCAAGGGGCAGTGATCCCAAGTATAGATGGAGGAGATGAGCTGGCCTTTGCACAGTAGGTACGGCGAGGCTGCGAACGGCTGGACCCTCGCTGGTCGACTAGTGCATGTACGTCATGGTGTCACGCTTTGACACGAAGCACAGGACGCAAGTGCCGTTGGCCCCCCCTCGCTAACAGCTCAACCAGTGTCGGACCACTGCGGGTGGTGCACAACTATCTAACACGTCGACAGCCTCGAGACTGCTGGCTATGGCGCGTTGTCGACTGGAGGCGTGTTGCTGGAGGCGCGGCAGCCCTCTGATGCGGTGAGGTTCGGCAGCGGAGCTCGCTTATCCTGCTGTGCTTGCTAGGTTTGGTAGTGCCAGGGATCGCCCAGAATGCCGGAGATTGGTAGACTAGAGAGCACCGCACAGCTTTGACGCCCGACCGATTTCCGAGGCTGGGATGGCAGCTGTCTTTTCATGAGCTATGCTGTTCTAGGAAGGGGTGCATAGTGGTTAAAGATGATTCTTCTTGACCGCACATTCCCTCTTTTCCTTCCCCGTCTCTGCACCTTGACAGATTTTTTTACCAGTCACTCAAACTGCACCAAACCACCCAAACCACCCAAACCAGTCACTTCAGCACTATACGACCATCTGGACTAGAGACAGCACTCAAGAAACATCACACTACCGGCACACTCTGACAGGATGGCGCCCGTTCAGACACAAACCATGACATCCCACCAGTTCGACAACCCAGTCACAGTCATCCGAGCCTCCGGACGGATATCCAAACCACCAGCGCGCTCCACGCGCACACAAAACAAGGCGCTCCTGTCACATTCGCCACAGATTCCCACGGCACACCCAGACATTAACATCACACTACTCCGCAACAAGCTGCTCCTGCAATGCCGGAGATACCTACCCTCAGACCTCCTTCATGAAGCACTGGCAGACGGCATCTACTCCCGCGCCACGCACTGGATCACGCCGTGCTCTAGCGCAGCATCCAAATTTGGCAAGCGGAAGAGATACTATGTGCTTGACTCGTCGACGTTCACGTTCCAGTCTCTTGGCAGCGCATGGGAAGCGCGGATCCTGTCGGGTGGCAGCCAGCCCATTGACGCAGGCAACGGGGTTATCATCTTTGTCAAGGAGAGAAAGGAGTGGGACGCCTTTATGGCGGGGTACAGAAGGCAAGGCAAGCGAGCGGGGCAATTGATGAAGCACAAGCAAAAGGACACAGAGAGAGGGTGGCGAGACGCGTGGAAGCGAAAGTGCGGTATGGAAGAGGGTGGGGGGAAGGAAGTGAATGCCGGGCCCATGTGGGTGCTGGTCAAGAGCGCTGTTGCGAAGATTGTCAAGGGCGAGGCCTGAGACAAGCAACGGGAGCGGGAGGAGGAGTTGAACCTCAAGTGCGGCGGCTTAGGGCAGAATGAGGCGGAGAGGACGAGTTGCGTGGGCGGGGTGAGGAGGGAGAGCGGTTAGCATCATCAGCAGGTCAGAAGCAAAGGGCTAGGCCTCGGCGTTTTTCTCTTTGCATCATTCTTAGCGAGCATTTTTAGACACGACCATTTACGATGGCTGGGGGCGGTAAGCGCGTTCCTCAGCGCAACACCAGTAGAGTACATACATACATACAGACATACAGACATACATGTATCCTTAATGGAAAACACGCACAGAACAAGAATCGCAGCACGGCTTCGTCCGCATTATTTCACCCTCCCTTGTCTCGCTCTCGGCGCTTTTTTTTTCTTCTCATGTGCCCATCTGCGCTCGTCCCCCCTCCCCTCCCTTCGTCCCCCCGCCCTGAGCTTCAGACGTCCGCCCCACAGGGGACAAGGGCGGGTGGCCACGCTAATCGCCCACTGGTTCCGAAACGCTAGCTTCCGAATTCCGATCCCCGAAAGAGGCTCAAACGTGGCTCGTGCCGCTCACATTAGCGTTCTCCGTCCTTAGCTCCGGCGCGCCGCACTTGAAGCCACGGTTGTCAAGGCAGACAGGAGGGCCAGAGAGAAGAAAATAGCGACTAACGCCAGGTGTTCACTCTCGCGTTGGTGGCTTTTTCATTTATTATCGACATTACCCGGTGGATTTGACTCTGCAAATTCTCATTCTGCTTTATCAGGTGTTGGTTTTCGTTTTCTGAGCGCTCATCTCCTGCGCCTGTCCACTCCTTTTGTCCCCCCCTCCAACTCTTCGATTCCAACAGTCGTCGACGCAGGGGACTCGCGAACAACCGCATTACGAAAAGATGACACAGGCAGTGCGCCGCAAGGCCAATGAGACCAATGGCCATGCGCACCACCGTCTCGACGATGCGGTGCACTCGATTGAGCAGAAGCTGGAAGAGCAGGCGGAGCTGCATGCGCGAAACCCTCAGGAACAGAAGGAAGCAGGGCTGTTCCAGCTCGTCATTTGCGTCGCTGGTATCTACGGTAGTTTGTAAGTATCACAGCACGTATATGCGACAAAGAGCACACGCTGACCAGCAAACACCAGCATGACATGGGCCTGGATCCAAGAGCGTCTAACAACCACCACCCACGGCCCCTCCAACCAGCGCTTCACATACTCCATCTTCCTCAACACCGTTCAATCCGCCTTTGCCGCCATAACCGGTCTAATCTACCTCTTTGCCTCTGCGAAAAAAGATCCTAAAACCGGCGTTCGCACCGTCCTCCCCATTTTCCCCTCCCGCAGCATTCTCCTGCCTTTACTAGGCATCGCGCTGACCTCGTCGCTCGCCTCGCCCTTTGGCTACGCAAGCCTCAAGCACATCGACTACGTCACCTTCATCCTCGCCAAAAGCTGTAAATTGCTGCCCGTCATGTTCCTCCACATTTCCCTTTTCCAAAAACGATACCCACTATATAAATACGCAGTCATCGGCTTCGTAACCCTCGGCGTCGCAGTTTTTACGCTATACAGCCCTAGCACTGCGAAGAAGGCGGCGAAGAAAAGTGGAGCGCTGAATGCGGATGCGTCGCACACGGTCGGCTTGGTCCTGCTCGGTGTGAACTTGCTGTTTGATGGTCTGACGAATACGGTGCAAGACCATATTTTCACCTCGTTTAGGGGTTTTACCGGCCCACAGATGATGTGTGCGCAGAATATCATGTCGACGGCGCTGACGGTGTCGTACCTCTTGATCACACCTCTTCTCGCTTCTACACCGCTGGCGTCGTCGCTCGGGCTCGCGACGTCGGAACTCAGCGATGCGCTGGGGTTCATTACAAAGTATCCGGCTGTGGGTGCCGATGTGCTCATGTTCTCGGCGTGCGGTGCGATAGGCCAGGTTTTCATTTTCCATACACTCGCGCATTTTAGTAGCTTGTTGCTTGTTACTGTGACGGTTACGCGCAAGATGCTGACCATGGTGTGGAGCGTGTGGTGGTTTGGGCATGAGATTACGAGTATGCAGTGGGTGGGTGTTGGTTTGGTGTTTGGTGGGATTGGCGCCGAGGCGGCGATGGGAAGGAGGGAGAAGGCGAAGAAGGCTGCTGCGAAGAAGGCTGAGTTGGAGGCGGCGAAGAAGAGGTAGATGAGTTTTGGGGGGGGTTGAAGATATATGGCCATGCTTTTTTCTGTACATTTGACGCACACTGCCGTTCTTCGCTCTGGGACTTTTGAAATAGGGGGGGGAGGGGGGAGCACATATACCATAGATAAGAATAGACCAACGTAGAAGTCACATCTTTCAAAAACAAAAACAAAAAGATACATCTTCGTCTATTCAACGCCATCTACCTTACTCCACTACCCCCTTCCTTGCCCACTCCCTAAGCACATTCTTTTGAATCTTGCCCGTACTCGTCTTGGGCAACTCCCTCACAACCACCACCTCCCTGGGTACCATAAACCGACTAATATGGCTATTCTCCTTTGCCCACTGGATCACCTCGGCACCCAGCGTCTCGCTATTCGATCCATCCTTCGTTGTGACAAACGCCTTGGGCCGCTCGCCCCAGTGGGAATCGGGCACGGCGCAGACGCCGACTTCGAGGATAGCAGGGTGCGTCGAGAGCATTGCTTCGAGGGCGACTGAGGAGATGTTTTCGCCGCCTAGAAGAAACATTCGTGTTAGATTTGAAATTTGAAAGGCTTTGAAGGAGGAGAGAGAGAGAGAGAGGGAAGAAGACGTACCACTGATAATAATATCCTTTGCTCGATCCAGAATCTGGATTGCGCCGTCAGGATGCCAGACTGCTAGATCGCCCGTGTGCAACCATCCTCCTTCCCACAGCTTTCTTGTTGCCTCGGCGTCTTTATAGTACCCCTTTGCGCAGATATTACCTTCGAAGATGATTTCGCCGATTTCCTCGCCGTTCTTTTCTACGTTTGTCAGGATGCCTGCGGGCTGCTCGGGCTTGATGACGCGAAGGGCTTTGGCTACAATGAAGCCGTGACCCTGGCGTGCCATGCGGCTGTATTTCTCTTTATCAGGCAGCGTGTCCCACTCAGGCACGTGGTAGCCCTTTGTTATGGGTCCGTAGGTCTCGGTTAAGCCGTAGACGTGAACGGGATTGAGGTTCAGATTTGACATTTGCTCAAAGAGCCATGCTGAGGGCGGGGATGCTGCTACCGTAACGCGGACGGGGTGGGGTAGGCGTTCGGCTTCCTTGGCTGCGCAAAGCAGTGTGTTGACGGTTGGTGCAGCGTTAAAGTGCGTTATGCCTTCTTCCTTGAGTAAGCGCCAGATTTCCGGGTAGTCGATCTTTCGAAGGCAGTAGTGTGTGCCTCGGACGGCGGTGACGGACCAGGGAAATGTCCAGCCTGTGGCGTGAAACATGGGTAGTGTCCATAGATACTTTGCGCGGCCTGAATGGTAGTTGAGCCCTGATTCGATAATATTGCCCATGGCAGCGAGATAGACGCCGCGGTGTGTGTACTCAACACCCTTTGGTCTGGCCGTGGTCCCACTCGTGTATGCAAGAGCAATAACGTCTTCCTCGTTCTTCGCATGCGACTCCAGGTTCTCCCATCCTTTACCGCCCTGCTCAATGTCATACTTCAGTCCCTCCAACACCGCATCGTCAAAAGGACCCGAAAGCTCGCCTTCGGTAGCATCCATGTCCGTGTCGACTAGGATTGGTACATCCGGTTTTGTCTTTTTGTAATCGTCTAGCAAGCTCACGAATTCCGCATCCGCGATAATCATGTCTACATCGGAATGTTGAAAAATGTAGCTAATGTCATCGGGTTTGAGCCGATAGTTGATAGCTACGTTTACAGCTCCCGCAGCCGCAATTCCAAATATGCTCTCCAAAAACGCTGGCGTATTGGTCGCCAGTATGCCTACCCTCTTATACCCATGTTTTTTCAAGTAGTATGCCAGTCCTCGCGCGCGATCCGCAGCTTCGGCATAAGAACGCCGCAGGATCTGGTTGTTGGCAGTCTTGTGGTATATTGCCAAAGCATCAGGCTCAATCTGTGCGGCGCGCCAGAGAAACCATGTCGGGCTAAGCGTGTGGAAGTTGTGTCTGTGGTGGTATTCGTGGCTATCGCCGGGTTGGATGGGCGGCGGACCGGGTACGGGATTTGCAGAGGTAAAGTGCGATGCGAGCTGCTTGAGACGGTCTTTGGCGCCTTCCATGGTGTATGTCTTGTGTCTAACAACAATTGGAGTGAAACAAGCTTTTATACACACACACGAGCTCCAGGGGCGATCTACAAGCTTGGCCAAGCTGACCTGAGCTATAGACGCGTGAATGCGGAGTAAGTCCGCTGTGGGTTCAAGTGCGAGAGATGTCCGAACTCGTTCGCGCCAGGGTACTGTAGGACTATAATGACAATCTCAATAACATTCAGAGGGGCACGGACGGCAAAAAGCAACGTTCAAGTAAATCACAACCGAGCCACGAAAAAGAGACGTGTTCGAGAAGTGCTGGGCGGGCTGACACGTTGAGTCGTTACTTACGACGCTGGATTGGGGAAATCTGGGGAAGGGATCCGATGCGGGACGACGTCAGGGCCGAGGTTAAGCGCTAGCTGGCCTGCCATCTTAGCCATTGGCCATCCGGCCATCCTTCCGACCGCGGCGGTCCTGCGTGCACATGCCTGGTTTGCTTGTGCAAGATAACGATATGAATTGCACTATTGGTGTGGTCAAATGCATTGTCAAAGGGGACCGAATTGGATTAACAACATAACCGCCAGTCTATTGCGAACGCTCAACGCCATCAACATGCTTTACATCAGCTGTGATTTTTCATTTCGTATTGCTTCTAGCCGGAAGAGTACCTGAAGACACAGCAGACCGACCGCAAAGAGACCCATGAACACGTAAGCACTCTGGTATTGATGTGCTCTTTTAGCCTGGACACCCTTTCGAATGGTCGGAGTATAGTAGAGGAAAGAAACATCCCATGAGCCAAATGCAATCCACGCCGAACCACATCACCGAAACCGACACTGGTCATCAACTGCCGTTTTCTAGTATCCGAGGGCGGTAAGCTGCTCCTGGGTCTTGCTGTCCACGTTGGCCGTCTTCTTGGCCTCGGCCAACTGCCGTCGGAGGGCCTTCTTGCGCTCGTAGTAAGCGGCACCCTTGACCTTCCTGCGCTCCTCAAGACTGCACAAAATTTTGTTAGCAACACGAATTTGTGTGTGGTAGTCACAAAAACATACCGGGCAACAACGTCCTGGTACTTCCAGCCGAACTCGTGGCCGAGACGTCCGACAGTGCAGTACTTGCGGCCGGGCTTGAGCCTCAGTACCCTCAGGGCCTGGGGAACAACGACGCGCTTCTTCTTGTCGTAGGGGGCGGGGATACCCTCAAAGGTCTTGAGGCGCTCCATGGCGGCGGCACCACGAGCAGTCTTGTGGGGAATCATGCCGCGGACAGTTCGCCAGAACATCTTGGAGGGGGCGCGGAAGTGGAAAGGACCTGAACGGCGGATTAGCACGTCGTCGGCGAATTGGCACACAGCAGAATTCTGGCTGTGAGAGTGCCGCAGATGTATGGGAGAGACATACCACCGCGGGTAGGGTTGAAACGAGTCTGCTTGCGCAAGAAAGCCGAGTACTTCACTAGATGTCGCTGTCAGCTGCTGTCGTTTATTTGTTCGAGTGTTCCGAGAGCGCTTCGCAAGAGCAGCCACAATGCATGTCAACAACCATTCAATACCCTTTGATCAATCCTCTTTTCATGTGCATTCATTGTGGCCTGCTGCCTACGTCGCTTGCTCGTATTCGGTGGGTGAACGTACGCTTCGCGCGGAAGAACTCGCCGGAGATGTTGAGAGCCTCACATCGCACGACGACGATCTTCTGGCCATTGAGGAGCTGCTTGGCGACAGTGCTGGCGAGGCGACCGAGCAAGTGGCCCTTGCCGTCGATGACCTGGGTGCGCTGTCAGCGAGAGGCTCCTTGGAAAGCAGCTTGTGCATTGGTGTTGACAAGAGGCGCGGGCTGGCACGGCGACCAAGTGCAACCGCCTGCGCTAGAAATATGCGGCTTCGTGTGTTCGGGGCGTACGTACAATGACGGGTTCGAAGGTCGACATTTTGCTCGACTCCGGTGTGCTGTGAGGTTAGTTGTCGTGAGGAAAGAGCTCGTTGCAGCGGATTCCAATACCACCAACAGGCTAAGCGAATATTTCCACTGGTGTGTGTGTGGCCCGTGCACGACTTAGCGTCGCTCGAGAAGCCTCTGCCAGTCCTCTTCAGCGCAAGATGCTCGTTTGGAAGGCGAGGCACTTCACCGAGCTCTGGAGAGTTTTTTTCAGAGTCCTGGAGCTTGGTGTTGCCTTTTTTCGTTGTGCTTATCGAAATCGGATGGGAATAGTGGTACCATGGTGCTGAGACCGCACCCAGGGAGTACCACGATCCTCAGAACGGCCATCTCCAAATCCACCAAACACCTCTATGATTTCTTTACGCCTATGGAGGTCTTGTGCAATTGACAGATACGTCACATAAAGTGACTGCAACAGTATCCATTCAGATCCCGGGTACGACTGACATTGAGCATGCTTGGACGTGAGGAAAATAGCGCCAAGTCGATTTTTGTACTTTGCGCCAAATTCTAGTATATTCACCACACAACAGCTTACAACAAGGAACGCCGGTGTCTGCCTACAGAGAAAAGGTCTGTCTGAAACTACCCAGGGGTAAGAATTTTTCTTTGTACATCAAGTAATAACAAGACGGCAATTGACTCGCTCCTTCTTTCGACAATGCGCTCACAACGGTATATCTATGGGTGATTTTAGCAGGTACGCCCCTGTAACTCTCGGTTTCCTGCATTCGCACAAATTGAGGTGTACTACTCTCGAATCTTTTCAAGGAACGCGCAGTTGCTGTTGATTACGACGTGAAATCGCTTGCTGAGAGGCCATCTCCTCTGCGAATCGCTTATACAGTTGTATATTGAGCCAGCCATCGGCATCTATTTATTTTTTATGATGCCATATTGGTGCGGATGGATTCCCTATCAATCAATCGGCCCAGTCGTGCAACTAATCTTTGCCATTCCATTTATCAGCTGTACCCACTCACCCACCAGCGCTTATCCCTTGTCATAAAAGAAGCCTTTCGCACACAAAAACTCATATACAAGGTTGCAAGCAAGCTTGCTGTGCATAGGCCTTGATACTGCATCACTGGAAGATCTATGTCTGTTTAACACGAGAAATGACCGCAGAA